AGGACCTGGACATCACAGTGATGGTGTTCCACCACTTTGGAAAGGACTTCCCCAAGTCAGAGAAGCTGAGCCCTGATGCCTTCATCCAGATGGCCCTACAGCTGGCCTACTACAGGTGTGCTACCTCCTATTTGCGAAGAAAGGAGAGATCTGGGAACGGGGTGCAACCTTTCAGGGTGGGCTTAGCAATGTCTCGCACCCAGGATCTACGGGCAGGCGTGTGCCACATATGAAAGTGCCTCCCTGCGCATGTTTCACCTGGGACGCACTGACACCATCCGCTCAGCCTCTATGGACTCACTGGCCTTCGTCAAGGCTATTGATGACTCCAGTGTGACGGTGAGAGATCTAGCAAGGGCTGGTGAGCTGGACTCGAGCCATCTCCTTTCCTGTTCATTCTGCCATCACACATGGATTGCGCATGTGTGTTCTTCCAGCCCTATGGTGGGCAATGGGAATCCAACAGAAGATGAAGCATCGATTTAGTTCTGAGCTTTCTGATAGTCAGAGGGAAAAGGGAGTCATCCCTATGTTGGGGCCTTGGGGGCTGGGGACTGAAGAGATAGCAGTACTCGGCTCTGAAGGAGCTGGGAACGTAGTGCTGGGTAGAGAGTGGGCTACGAAGTAGAGGAGAAAGAGGGAAGGGACAGTGCTTCAGCTCTCCCTGACCTTCACACCCACCAGGAATATCAGAAGGTGGAGCTACTGCGGAAGGCTGTGCAAGCCCACCGAGCCTACACTGACAGGGTGAGTGAGCCCAGTGTATCACCGCTTATTGTCCCTTAACATCCCCCACCTGTCTGTCCATCTTTCTTCTCATCCCTGCATTACATGGCTGCTAACCTTTCACGAGAAGCACTCGTTCCCTGAGCTCTGGAACACCCAGAGCAATAGCCCCATTTTGAAGCTGGGGAATCTAAGGGGGACCTGGTAACTGCCCTCATCCCAGTTCCAGAGTTAGCACGGGCCCCTGGGTATTGTGGGATGCTGAGGGTGTCCGTGGTTCAGCAACGATGCGTTTCCTGCTTTCCAGTAGCTTGGGCTACAGCCAGGGAGCTAATGGTCTAGGTGCCCATCCTAGCTGTGGCACCTGTTTGTGCCATACACTGCTCACATCACATGCAGCTGTCATCTAGATCTTACTGCTTTCTGCCACAGATGGAAGACACTGAGGCTCCAGAACCTACGGGTTTGTCAAGGCCCCACAGCCTGGACAGGGCTGAGCTGCCCACTTCCAGGGCTCATGCTTTTAAATCCCACATTGTCCTGCCTCCTGGCCAGATCTCTGTCCCTCCCTGGGACTTAATTTCCTCATCTGGAAATTTCCTCTCCTGCCTTGATCCTTGATACTTTGATGTCTTGGTTCCCAAGGACTAGTGGCTGGAAGGGGCAGTGCTACCATAGCCCTCTCCTGCTCCTGGCCCTCACCTGCTTCTGACAGCTCCTTCCCCACAGGCCATCCGTGGAGAAGCCTTTGACCGGCACCTGCTGGGCCTGAAGCTGCAGGCCATCGAGGACCTAGTGAGCATGCCTGACATCTTCATGGACACCTCCTATGCCATCGCCATGCACTTCAACCTCTCCACCAGCCAGGTGGGCCACTGCCAAAGCCTCGAGTCCCCAAGGAGGTGGGGACAGGGGCAACACTGCAGCCTAGGCAGGCTGAGGTAGTGTCAGAGCTCCTTAAGAAAACTGGCTTCCTTCACTCACTGGTCAGATAGAAACACCTGATCTGGGTCAATCTGTGCTAGATGCTGGACTAGCAGGGGACAGACCACCATGCCTGCTCCCCTCTATGGGAAGTGCTGGGGGTCGGGAGGGCAAAGGAGGGAGCAGCTACAATCCCCCACACCCCAGGAAATGCCTAGGAAGGCTCCCCAGAGGAGATGACTGCACCCTGGAGGACGAGAGGGAGTCCCCCTCTGCTGGAGATAAGGAGAGGGTGTCTGCAGCAGAGCAGGGTGGGAGCAGACAGAAGAGAAGACAGGCTAGTGCCTCCTCACGATTGGAGGCAAACCATGGACCAGGGATGAGAGCTTTGATCCACTGTCCCCAGGTCCCTGCCAAGACAGACTGCGTCATGTTCTTTGGGCCTGTGGTCCCCGATGGCTACGGCATCTGCTATAACCCCATGGAGGCCCATATCAACTTCTCTGTGTCTGCCTACAACAGCTGTGCTGAGACCAACGCTGCCCGCATGGCACACTACCTGGAGAGGGCACTCCTGGACATGCGTACCCTACTTCAGAACCACCCCCGGGCCAAACTCTGAGCCTTGTGCTCAGGCCTGCTAGTGCCATAGCCAATCCCATCTGGGGATAGCCACCCTCCAGGGCTCAATTCCTTTGCTTCCTCTGCCCTTGGCCCCAGGATCTGAACACATCTTCTTGGGGGTCCTACAGGCTCAAGCAAGTGCCTTCTCTGAGCTGGGGCTCAGTTCAGAACTGAGCAGGACCTAAGGCCCAGGCCTCCAGCGAATCATCCCCTGGAGAAGGGACCCAGTCTAGCCCAGCACTTACCATACTAGGAGACTAGAAAGAGCTCCGTTTCTTTCCTAGCTCAGCTCTGGCTAGTCCTTGCCATCTCCATAGCCAGGTCAGGGTCTGTACTCTGAACTCCAAGCTCTCAAGGACCTGAAGACAAAGGATGATCTGGAGCTGAGGAGCCAGAGAGCAAGGTTTCCGGGTCAAGGGGACCCCCTGAGGTACCATCAACAACACGGTTGCTATGGTCTTTTTGGATAAGGTGACTCATGAGCCCTGGCCCTCTTGCTTCCATGCAGCATGGTCCCTGAATCACTTCACAGTTGTAAAACACGAGCACACCAGGTAATTAATTAATAAAGGGAAAATGTGCTGGCAAAGAGGTCTTTCAGCTGAGGGGAAAGGAGGGGGACAGGTGCCTTCTTCCACCTGTCCTTGTCTGAAAAATGGTGTCCCAAAAGGGTCCCCAGAGGAGTCCTTGGGTTCAGGGAGCTAAGGGCCAGCTGGGACCTTAGGTGCTGAGCCAAGAATGGTGCCACACCCAGGGCCACGTTCTTCATCAACTCTCCACCCACTTGTCCTGGCTTGGGCCTTCCCAAGTCCCATGAGCTGAGTGGCACCATGAGGCCCTGGTCTGATGGGCGGGGTGGGGTGGCCAACACCCAGGGCCCATAGGCTGGTCCAGCTGCCCTCCATGGAGCCCAGCAGGACTGGTAGCAGATCAGGCATGCTTGCCCCAGCTCACCCCAGCCCTCACTGCTGCCAGGGCAAACACCTGCTGGGGGTACACCGGGGAAGCAGCCACCTGCCAGCACCACGTACTTGCCCTCAACCCCGTACACCTAGTAGAAGTGGAGCATCTTGTCAGGGTCAAGTGGGCACATATGGAATGCCAGGAGCAGGTGCACTGGGGCTAGGAGGGCAGCAACATGTGAGGCACTTCATGGCCCGACCAACCTGCGACCATCACTGAGGGTGTGGCCCATGGTTTTCCATTTTTCAGATGAGGAAACAAGCTCAGAGTTAAGGTTACCAGGACACTAAGTAGCAGAACAGAAATTCCAAGAGAGCACACTTATTTCCTTCAGGTCAGAGCCTGAGGAACATGTGTGGCTAAGCCCCCAGCCCCGCAGCATATCCACCCAGGGCAGGGGATGGAGATGAAGGTGGCTATTGGTGGAAACTGGATTTCAAGCAGGAGAGGGCAGTACAGGAAGGAACTGGTACACCAGGCACTGATCCAGCCTTGAGGCCCTTAAGGTCTGACCAAATCTTTCCTTCACCTGTGAAGATGGACACTCATTGTGGCCTTCTTTTCTCCTTTCCTGATAAGGCTAGATAGATGCCACTTGCCCAAAGCCCCACGGAACAAGAGATGGACCCCAGACCATAGGCTCCATGGTGATTTAAAGCAGTATTTAATAATTAGCTGGGGCACAGTGGCACGTGCCTGTAATCCCACTGGCTAGGAAGGCTGAGACAGGGAGGATCACAAGTTTGGGGCAAGCCTCAGCAACTTAGCAAGGTCATAAGCAACTTAGAAAACCTGTCTCAAAAAACAAAAAGGGCTGTGGAAGTAGCTTAGTGGTAAAGCACCCCTGGGTTAAATGCCCAATACCAAAAAAAAAAAAAGTAAGTTGATAACTAATTTTAAATCTACAAGGCTCCTGGGTCACCACTAATCTGAAGTTGGCTTAATTGAATGTCAAGGTTCAGTGGCCCCAGGGGACCTCACAGGCCTTAACACCCATTTGATTAGGGGTAACTTTTGATTCCTCCTCCCATGAGGGTGTAGCTGTTCTGCATCTCAGGGCCATCCTTGGGTCCCTCTCTTATTAGGCCTTTAAAAACCTAGTTCAGGGGCTGGAGTTGTGGCTTAGAGGTAGAGCACTTGCCTGGCATGTGTGAGGCAATGGGTTCGATCCTCAGCACCATATAAAAATAAAAGGTATGTGTGCATCTACAGCCAAAATTAAAAAAAAAAAAAAATACCCAGTTCAGTGTGCAGTTACTTCTGCAAAAGCAAGATTTTCATCCATCCATGCACCCAGAAATATGGAATGAAAGAAGTGGAGGAGACGTTCCTCTTGCCTTAGGAAAGGCAGGCCCTGTTCCCCAGTCTTACAAGCTGCCCCATGAAGATGGAACCCAACTTGCTGAGAGCAGGCCAGAGCCAGCCAGTATGAGGCAGTAAGGGAGAATAAGACTGAGAAACTGATGGTCCCCAAGGCTGAGAGCTGCAGATTAGGCAGGATGTGGGACCACAGAGAGGATGGAGCCAGAGGTTGGAAGGCCCTGGTGGGAAATGCAAAGGCCTTCAAACCCCTGCCTTGGGGCCTAGGGTGCAGCGCCCGGGTGAGGCACTCACCTGGCACCTGTGAGGCCCCTGGCTCCCTGTCCAGCATTAGTGGAGGGACTAGTTATCTCAAGATGCTTATGATTTCCTTGTCCTAAGGGTCACATGTCACCACAGCCACCCCCAGGCGCCTCACATAAGCTGTCACATGCTCAAGCCGCCATAGTTTAAGATTTTATTTTAAAACAATAGTAAACAATTTTGTTGATTTTTCTTAAACCACCTTACACTTGGCTTGTCTCAGGCAAAAAGTAAAAAATAAAAATACTAAGGGAAGGGGAGGGAAACATGGGGACTGACCTACCTCCCTAGAAACCAGCCCTGGTCCTGGCATCTGGAATGGCTTTGGACACTGCCTTTAACAAATGAATAAAGAAAGCACCGAAAACTTGTGCTTCAGCAGCAGATTAGGACCCTCCACTGAGAAAAGGGTGGGGGGAAACACAGGTCCTCAGGGGCCTGGGTCAGCTCTGGAAACTTCTGGGAGTCTGGAAGCCTCTCCTCCATGAGTGTTGCAGAGTGACTCAAGAGATGGTCCCTAGGAAGAGCCCTCCTCCAAGCTGGGCATATGGGGATCTGTGAGCTCACACCTGGACAGATTTCCCCGCCTGCTGGGTGAGGTGGGAAGGACAAGGACATCTTCAGAGCATATAGAGAAGGGCAGGGGATCAGGCACTGGCTGCCAGACTCCTCTTGTCGTGGCTCCTGGTTCCTTTGTTCGAGGGATGAAGACTGACTGGTGCTGGGTGGCAGACACGGAGCTGTAAACAGCTTGGGTGTGTCACCCATACGTGCAGGCTCCTTTGTCATCTTGGGAACAGGAGACCAGAGAAAGCCCTTGTGGTGTCAGGTTGATACGGAAGAACACAATGATAGCAGCCGCCAGACACGTGCTTGCTCTGGGCCCTGCCCCCAAACGAAACACTGACGAGGTTCTGGAATGGCAATGGTGGCAGGGAGGGCACAGGGGACACTCCCTTCTCCTGGCCCCCAGCCCCTCAGGTCCAGGAAGAGGCAGTCTGCCCCTGGCTCGGGGCAAAAGGCCTGGGCCCCTCTGTACTCAGGACAACCACTGCAACGTGGACTCTCTAGGTCCCATCTCCAAACTCCCATCTGCCTTTGACAAAAAATCAAAAAATAAATAGTGTGCACTTTTCACGTCCCCTGGAATCTCTGGCCCAAGACTAGAGATGCAAGCCCTCATCCCCTTCCCCACACCCTGGTGCCACGTCAGGGGCACCTTCTGCCCAGCTGGGGGCTGGCAGCAGCAGAGTAAATGTCTCTGGCCATTTGGCCCCCAGGCAGCAGGCCTTCCAGGGTCCTAGTTGAGGGGCTGGCTCAGCCCTTTGGTCCACCTTGTCCATTAAAATTAAAATAAGAAAAAAAAAAAAAAAAAGGCTCCACTTGGTGACTCAGGTCTGTAGAGGTCTCTGCTTCAGCCCTCTGTCAGTCATTCTGTCCATCCTGCAAGGCATCATGCAGGCCAGATCTGGAGGCTGGACCCAGCCCTACCCACCAGTCACTGCAGTTTCGTCCCCAGCTTGCGCTGTCTGTTCCTGAAAAATAGGATAGGGTCAGATGTGGGGACACCTGGTGTTCAGTGGTATCCCCTCCCCACTCAAAGTTCCAATGAAATGGACAAATGCCCATACAGCAGCTGCAGTGACTACCCAAGCTGTACCAATCAGAGCCCCTGCCCTGGGGCTGGAACATGGACAGGGTCAGTCTCTGCTGGACTGTATCATGATACCTCCTCAACTTTGGAGCCCAGGAAGAGGGCCAGGAGACGGGCAGGGCAGAGACCTGGACAAGAGGGACCTGGCTGATTCCAATTAATCATGGAGCACTCCCCTTACATACAGGTCAGCCCAAGCAGTTCAGTTATCACCAAAATGGAATTACAAAGCAGCAGCTCAGGACTGGGGTTATAGCTTAGTTGGTAGAGTGCTTGCCTCACATGTACAAGGCCCTGGGTTCAATCCCAACACCATCACCACCAAAAAAAAAAGCAGCCCTACATCTGGAAATATGTAAGCAAAGCAGACTGCAGAGTTTGGAACTGCTGACATCCTGGTTTGGAATGTGCCTATATCCATATGAGCTCAGGAACTTAATCAAAGCAGGGAATTGCCCCTATTTTCTAAAGCAGCTGACTGAGGCTCAAGAAGAACAGGGCTCATCTAGGACCCAGGTTAAAATCCACAAACCTAACCATGGCCCACGAGGCACAATATGACGTGGCCCCAGCCTTTCCTGTTCCCTGGGCTCCTATGACATCTGCCTCTCTGCTGAGCACCTCAGCAAACTTTTCTGCCTCAGAAGCTTTGTGTATGCTGCTCCCTCTGCTGAGAGCCCCCACTTCTGGCCCTAACAGGACCACTGTTCCTTCTCCTAGGAGGCGGTCCTGGGCGGTCACGCAGCAGGTTAAGTTCCTGTTGCAAACCCTCAAACCTCTGGGTCTGGCTCCCTGGCACGGACCTCACCTCACGGACAGGCTCTTCATTCCACACATCTCCCTGCAGCTGTGAGTGCCCCCAGGGTGGAACCCTGGCTGACTGCACCCAACCTCACAGCCTGGCACAGAGCAGGTCCATGTGGAGGACAGGCAAATGAAGGCAGGTGGCAGCCAGCCAGCCAGGACGGGCAAGGCAGCACCACTCTGGGAGCCAGGTAAGAGCACAGCAAGGGTGGCTGGGGCCTTTCTGCTGTTAATGGGATTGCCCAGCCCTAACTCCTTTAAATCCCCTTGTCTCTTGGAGCTGAGGCTTTACAGTTAAGCTTGTTAGCATAATTTGGACCTTAATATACTAAACACATTTCCTAGCTGCTGGGACACCCCTCCCTGCCCCACCTCTTCGTTCCTCTCACTCCTCTTTGGAAAACATCCTCTGGAGCCCAGCCTGCTTCAGCTCCTCTCTGAACCCTGAGAGGAGCCAGTAGACATCCCACCCAAGATCTGGGGTGAGCTGAGTGGAAGAGTGTGAGTCAGGAGCATCCAAAGCCCAGCACTGCCCCGACATGCTCTGCACCTGAAGGCTGCCCTAACTGGGTGTGCCCGCTGACCTGGCCACCAGGAAGCATCTCAATAAATAGCTTGGAGGGCCACGCCCAGGACCCCACGCCCAGGACCCCTGAGATCTCAGTGGACAAGCTCTCCTGTTTTTGGTTGCAGATGTTAAGTGCAAGGGCTCTGGGACAAAAGTTCACTGCCCAGCTCCCTCACCGACTTTCTGAAAGATGTCAGGCAAGTGATTTCCCTTTCCTCTGAGCTTACTTTCTCATCTGCAAAATGAGGATCACAGGAGAATTCAATAAAGCAATGAAAGAAAAGTAGGCAAGTTCCAGGCTTTAATGAAGCCCTCCAAATATGGGGACAGAAGTAACTTCTGGCCCCTTAACTTACCTGGCTTCTGCCCGGGTTACCGTGTACTCAAACCAGAGTACATTGGGAATGAGGCTCGTGTCCCGGATTAGGAAGAACTCAGAGACAGGCCTGGAGAGACAGACCCAGAAAGCCACAGCTGTGTCAGCGCATGAGCCTCCCACCAAGCCAGATGCCCCACCAGATCCTGGGGCTGGTGCTGCACCCTCCCCCACTTCTACAGAGCCACAGTACTCACAACCCAGCAGGACTTTGGCCCACCCCGCCCTCCCTTCTTCCTTTTCTTTTGGCAGTACTGAGGATTAAACAGCAGGTGCACTCTACCACTGAACTCTATCCCCTTGCTCTTTTGATTTTACTTTGAGACAGGGTGTCAAGGTAAGTTGCCAATGTTGGCCCTGAACTTTTGATCCTCCTGCCTCAGCCTTCTGAGTCGCAGTATTATAGGTGTGCACCACTTTGTATGACTCCGACTGTTTTCTAAGTCCCTCAGAGCCTAGGCAAGGACAGAGGATGGTACTCTGGCTTCTGGATGTGGGGAGGCCCCATAAGATCCTGCAGCAAGACCTAGGGGAGGTGGAAGCTAGGCAAGTGGCTGGGTACTGGGCTCTCCCAGGGAGATGAGGCTGGACTCAGGTTGCTGGAGACTTCCCATTGATGGCCACACCTGTGGGAGTGGACAGGTGCCACAGGCCAGGAAGGTGGAGGGACAGGAGGCAGTTACCAGGCTGCTATCCTGGGGAACAGCGGGGTGAGGACCTCCTGGGTGAAGACGAACCAGGCGATGGCCATGAGGCTTCCAGCAATGCCCCCATAGAGCACCTGGCTCCAGGTGTGGTACAGCAGGTAGACCCTGGGCCAAGGCCAGAAGGGAAGTTCATGAGAGCCAGACAGGGACAGGCTTACACAATCTCCTGTGGTCAACACGGTCAGTTTCCCAGGGACCTTGTATGCACACGTGGTGTCACACGCAGGTAGGACAAGCTCCCAGGAACATGCCTCAGCCCACCTTCCAAAGGGGGGCAGGGCACTGGAGCCCAATGGCTGCTCCCTATCTCTAGAAGTGATGAGGTTGCTCAGCTGGGATCTGCCTCCCTCCCATCCAGCCCTTAAACTGAGTCTGTCTGTAAGAGGCTCCCCCAGGAACAAATGGCTGACACACAGGGATATCCCCAGAATCTTAGGCTCCGTCAATGGGCTAGAAGGAGCAACTGGAACCCTGTCCCTTTAAAACCTGAGGTGTGGGGCCCTTTCCCAGACCTTCCCTACAAGACCTGGGAGGGGACCCACAATGAGGTCTAGCAGGATCTCAAGTGGGCAGTGCAGGGCAGGGCTCCTCCTGCCTCATACCTGCTGTAGGAGACCAGGAAGGCCGCAGTGAGGAGCCCCAGGGACAGCACGTGCCTCCACAGCAAGTCCAGGAACCTGGCGTTGTTCGTCTGGTGCATTCTGGGAAAACAGACCATCAGCCAGCCTCAGCCCACAGTCTGTGGTCCAGGCCTTCCAAATAGCCCCTGGCCCCATCCACACGCTCCTGGAACCTTCTGCCTCAGCTGCAGCTCTTTCCACCCCTAGGGGTATCTGAAGGGCTAGCAGTAAGTCCCCAGCACAGCCCATCCTGGGCCATTTTAGGGTCACACCCACTGGGACAGAAGCTCACCTTAAATACAGGAATAAGAAGGAATAGACGGAGAAGAACCACATAAACTGGGAATGGCTGGAGGGCATCCCGTACTTCGTGCCCACAGCTGTGTGGGGGCCTGGGGGAGAAAGGAGACCAGGGCATCACAGGAGGACGCAGGCCTCCTGGCAACACCCCAACCTGGGGAACCACAGGCCCTTGCAGCCCGGGCCCTACCTCCACAGGGCCGTGGTTCCTGGATGACGTGTTTGATCAGCCAGTTGACCCCTTCGTTCAGTGCCAGGCCCCCGAGGAATGAGATCTGCCAGGGGAAGATGTCAGTCAGCTGAGCCTGTGTACCTGCTGGCCATAGCCCAGCCGCAAAGACTGTGGCTTCTGACTGACCTCCCAGGCCAACAAGTGAACAGCCTAGACCAGCAAAGAACTCTGCACCGCAAGACACGCAGCAGTATGGAGGGGACGGCAGAGCAGAGCAGGGTGTGGAGCTGAGGGGACAGACTCACCGTGTGTAGCTCCCGCTTGAATATGATGAGGGTCACAAAGCCGACAATGACAAAAACAGGGCTGAGGCTCAGGTAGGCAAGGAGGTGGCCAGAGAGATCACCTGTGGGAGACAGAGAAGCAGGCATGGGAACAGGAGCCAGTCCCTACAACCCAAGTAGGGCCTGAGCCAGCAAGGAGGTCCCAACAGGACCTGGCGCCCAGGGCGAGGCAGTGAAGATGCCCAGTAGACCAACCGACCACGCCAACCTAGTAAAGCCGGTATAACAAGAAAGGTCTAGTCCTAACCACCAAAAATCACACAGCATGATCTTAATGCAGGTGCCTTCACTGTCCCCATTCTGAGTACCAGAAGGAGTTATGGACCTGCCCAAAGTCACTCCCACAAATCACACACACACAGAAGTGAGGGACTTAGAAATCCAAGGATCCAACCTGGTCCACATGCCACACCCATCACTCTGCCAGAGCAGAGATCTGAAGCCTGCTTGGTCTGACACCAGAGGCAGGTCCCTGCATGGAGGGCAGCCCAATGGCACAGCACCACACCTCTGCTGCCCCAGCCAAGCCCTGGGCCGCTGGGAAGGCTGATGGTCTCTGGACTCACACAGACTTGAGTCCACACTAAAGCTCCAATGCAGCCAAGCTGGGACAGTGGCTGCCTGTGGCAGGTAACAGTTTCTCACTGCTTCTCCATCAGCAAGAAATTGTGCCCTACTGACTACCAGGGTTTTAAACTCCTGACAAGCCTGGAGGGAGGTGGCATGAAGACCACTGGCCCATAGAGACACTGAGGCCAAAGGCAAGGATGAGCCCAAAAGCTACTTCTGCTGTTTGAGACAAGGTGGCCATGGCGATCTGGGGTTAGAGGGATGGCTCAGTCCTTGTGCCAGGACATGCTGCACAGAACTCAGGCAAGGATTACCCCTGCCTGAGTCTCAGTACTCTCCCAGGAGGTGCAGGTATTAGTACCTACCCCCTCCAATGGTGTAGACAGGATGTGATGGGGCCCGAGAGACACCAACTTGGTTCCTGGCACCCAGGACACTTCCACGTGGGGGTCACACAGAGGCTGGGAGAACTCAGAGCGGGAAGCGGTCCACAACACTGGGCTGGCCCCAAGCAGCAGGAAAGGTGCCCACAGAGGGCTGAGTATGGGTTCCAAACCTGAAAAGATGGGTGCCTCATCGGGCCTTCCCTGAACTTACCCAGGGATCTGGCTTAGAGCTGGTCTGAGAGAACAGAGCAGCAGTCTAGGTTCAAGTGCTTCTGCTGTCTGAGCCCCACTGGGCAATGCTGAGTGAGTCCTTTCCCTTTTCTGGGCCTCTGCTTCCCCATCCATCCCCTCTTAGCTCTGAGATTCTGGGTCTCTCTGCTACCTGGCTGATGCCCTGGTACTGAGCTGTGAGGACACAGCAGTAAGTAGCTGGTGCCGCATACCTTCAGCCATCTCATCCGCCTGCCCTAGAGCCAGAACTACCCTGGGACCTTCCTGTACGTGCTGCCAGGAATTCTGGTCTCTCCACTCTCTGATCTAAGTTCCTCCATGGCTCCCACTGCCTTTGGGATACGTTCCCCTCAGGCAGTCCTGGCCTGCTTCCCTTCCACCTTCTGCTCCAGTTCCAGGGACAGCACTCTAGTTCCCTGAAGAACTGTGCTCTGTCCTACTTCTGGACTTCGTACACACTACAGTCCCCATCTGGGATGCTGCCGGAGTGAACTCAACAAACATAAGTGAATACACCACAGTGGCAAAAAAAGACAAGACCCTACCATTGCATAGCTCTCAGTCTGGACAGAGAATCTGTAATCGGGACACAGCTCATGATCTGCTAGTTCATGTAGCTACTGGCCTAGTGTGTGTCTCCCCCTACACTTCAGGCCCCATGAAAGGAGGGTCAGTCTTTCTATACTCCACTACTCCCCTGCCCGCCACTTCACCATGCCTAAAAACTATGTGAGGTGAAAGATGAAGGAAGCAAGTTCAGTGTAGGCAGTGGCACAGAGGAGAGCAAAGGATTCCAGAAGCATCTACAGGGGATTAGACCTTGCAGGCACAGCCAGGTCCCTTATCACAGCCTGTGTGTACACTGCCAAGTTGCTTCTCCCTTGTAAGACTGAAGCTCTCTCAGAAGCTACTCTGAGGCCAGGGAGGGGATGTCAAGAAGATGCTTGGTCAAGACCCTTCCCTGCTCAGAGACCTCCTTCCAAAGAACAGGAATGTAGGGACCTATCAACCAGGACTGTTCATCAATCTAAACCCAGAACTGCCCAGGGCCTAGCACTTGGGAGGTGCTCAGTGGATACTGGCTAAATCAATAATCGAATGGTGGGCAGGCAGGCAGATAGGAAAAAGCACCTGGCAGCACGGCCCCACCCCTAGTATAGCCCAGAACAACCAGTCAAAGTTCTCTGGCATCCAGCCCTGAGGTCCTCTGCAGGACCAGGTTCTCATGTCCCTGCCCAAGAAAGCAGTAACAGCAGGCCCTTTTTGAGCAAACTAGGGCTCAGTGAGGGGTCCCCAGCCTCACCCACCACATAAACATCCTACCTGTGAAACAGGTAACATCAGCTGCAGGTATTTAGGGGTTGTTTACCCTGTGGTAGGCACTGTGCCCTGCACTACTCATGCCTGCCTTCGTTTGATTCACACATCATTACAGAAGAGAGGCACTGAGCTTAGTGCCACTTCAGGGATGAAGTGGCAGGGTCGGGTTAGGGTGGGGATAGGCACTTGCTCAAGGCCTCAGCCTGAATTGGAGCCCGGATACGTCTGACCCCAAGGCCCAAGCTCTGCAGTGTATCTACTAGACTGCCTACGGAACGGTCGCTAATGGACCTCTCAACTGGAAAGCCCTGCCCTCCTAGAAGTGTGTGGACTGCGAAGCTGCATAAAAGTCAGGATCCCAGGGGCTGGCTGACTGCCTCCTCGCCCGGTGCCCCCAGTGAGCGCTGCTCAGGGCGTGACTCCACAAGAACTCACAAACCTGGCCTCGGCTTGCACACTCCCTGCAACAGGGAGCTCTTTCTCTTACAGCCAGTCCAAAGCGCTATCCCAAAGAAACAGGCACTCCCCGCACGCCGAGGAGGGAGTGCGGCCTCTCTGGCTTCGGGGAAGGCGGGGAACAAAGGCCAGTGATCCTTCTCCGCCTCACATAGACCCCAGTCCCATTTCAGCCCACCGGAGCCGCGGGACCCTGGGGGATCGCCCCAGGCGCGCAGCCGCAGAGTGCGCGATCAAGAGGCACACAATTTCGCCCAGCTCATCGCCGCCCCACTGCGCCTGCGCGGCGCGCGCGCCGGCCGAGCCCCTCCATGGCTCACTATTTGACAGTTCCCACCCCGGTGCCTCCGCGCCCCCTCCGCGGGCCCACGCGGGCCGGAGCGCCCAGGGCCTCGGGGCCGGGCCCGGGAGGGGGGCCTCGGGGCCGCCTTTTACCTGCAGGATATTCGACGTGGGTGAGAGTCACCGGCCGCCATGAAGCGGGGAGCGAGCACTGTCCGTCCGCTGCCATCTTACCCGGAGACCGGGCTTCGCCAAGCAGCCAATGGGGAGCCAGGGGGGCGGTGGTCCTGACCTATCACGCCGGGAAGGCGCCACGCACCCAATCGGAGACCGATACAGGTATTGGCGCAGCCATTCAGCGTACAGGCCGTGAGGCTGACCCGAGCGGCGAATCAGAGAGCTGGCCCCTAGGAGCCTGCGAGCCGTCCCAGCCGGCACCCAATCCAGGACCAGCGCAAGTAGTTGCCTGACCAATTAGGAAGAAGGAGAGTTCCAACCCAGAGCAGAGAGCAGGCCAGCCAATCAGAAGGTAAGCATGGCTCACAGTGTGGGTAGGATGGGCCAATCAGGCGCTAGCTTGGGGGGCGTGTTGAGCTTTGGTGGGAGCTTTGGTTCGGCTGGGATTTGCTCTGGAGGAAAGTTTCCCGGTACCGAAGTACCTCTGCGGTCGGCGGGACCTGCGCGCCGGTAAGAGCGCGTGCTCGAAGCAAAGAGGAAACCTCAGCACCACTGGGTCCTATCCGCTTTTAATTATAAGTAAACTGAGACCAAAGACTCTGGCATTTATTTTTCTTTGTCCTTTACTGATCAACGGAAGGACGAGTCCAACGAAGCAGAGGGCTTTTTTGTTAAAGAGCTCGTGGGTTAGAGAGGGAACTCCTGGGGCGGGGGCACACACGTTTAGGTACCCTAAACGCTTTACAGAACGGAAGCCTAATTGAGGTTAAGGACGCCTTCCTTCTTCCACTCATTTAACAAGGATTTATTGGTTCAGCCATATTGATACTACTTAATGAGGCATCTTGGAAGCATGTTTTCCACCTACCCCTTAGTTTTCCCAAAACATTCTTAAGTAAACCTCCATACGTCCCCACCCACCTCACCCTCTGACCCCCTCTCCAGCTAGATGAATTACAGGTCAGGTAAGGTGCTCTTGTCTCCTTACCTTGGCTTATGCAGTGCCTCTGCCTGGAATGCACATCTCTTGCCCTACTTTGCCTGGCCTAGTCTGACTCAAGTGTCTGTTCACACGTAAAGGTTTCTGTGGCCAAGTGAGGGGCCTCCACTGGACTTCTGTGGTTGCATCCCCTTTTCTACCTCAGCCCTCACAACACAGGATTGTTAATTGCTTCCTTTTCTGTCTCTGCAAGTGAGCAGTGGTTCTCTGACAACCTGGGCCAACCTCAGCTTGTAGAAAACATGGATTCTTGGGTCTCACTAAGACCTCCTGGGTTGACCCAGAAGGTCCAGGTTGGAGCCTTAGCCTCTGCACTTTTTTTTTTTTTTTTTTTTTTTGTGTGTGTGTGTGTGTGTAGGGGAGTACTGGGGATTAACTCAGGAACATTCTACCATTGAGCTACATTCTCAGCCCTTTTTATTTTGAGACAGGGTCTCAATAAATTGCCCGGGCTGGTCTTCAACTTGCAATCCTCCTGCCTCAGCCTCCTGAGTAACTGGGATGACAGGTGGCGGCAAACATCAGAGAAGCCCTGGGCAACATGTGGACAGAGTCCGGTACATCCCTGAACCTGTCTCAGGCCAGACCCAGAACAAGTGCCTGATAAATGACATCAGTGCCTGTGAGGTGGAGAGAGAATCAACAGGAATCACACTGATCAGAATGGCTGACTCTGCCAGCCTGCCTGCCTGCCAGCCAAAACCAGGACCTCCCAAGTGGACAATAAGAAGACAAAAACCAAGGGCCCAGGAAGCCCCTGTCCCAGCTCAGTTGTGCTCAGCTTCCCTACCTCCCCAGCCCAGTGGGCCTTTCTGGGTCAGCTGCTCTTGCAGTCATCTGGTCACCTGCCCCCAGCTGCCTCAGACACTGCCATTATTAGTCTCTGAGAAGCAGGAGGTGTGAGGAGTGGGTCCTGAGCTTCCCAGAATAGTTCCCTGGGACATGGCAGCTATCATGGGTCTGGGCTGCAGTGCCTTTCCCAAACAGGCCTAGAGAAGCAATTCCCCGAAACACAGGATTCTCAGACCCCAGATTCTCTCCCACCAGGGAGTGTTCCTGAGGAGGTGATAAGGATGGGGGACTACAAAAGGAGTGGGAGTTTTGCAAGGTGGGTTTCCTGGCAGAGGAAACAACACGGCAGGTGTCCTGAGGCTGCAGTGGTGGGTGACAGAGACAAGAGGGACAGGGAAGCTCTGCAGGGAAGAGGTCAGCAGGGGTCTGGCCATCCATGGCACTGAGGGCATTGTTGGTGCTGAGGACAAAGGGGACTTCTAACGCCATATGCCATACACGGTATGTCTAGGTTTTGCACTCACCCCCTGGATTGAACCCAGGGGCACTTAACCACTGAGCCACATCCCCAGCCCTTTTTATTTTGAGACAGGGTCTCAGTAAGTTGCCAAGGCTGGCCTGGAACTTTTGTTCCTCCAGACTCAGCTTTTGGAGTCATTGGTCTTAGAGGCATGTACCACCCAGCATTGTTTCAGGAATATTTGAGCTCCTCGTCAGTGCCATCATGAGTGTCAAGGACATCTGCCCTCATGAAACTTCCATTCTGAGGAGGTTGCAGAACTTCTGGGTCCTGAAGACGCAGTTAGAGAGACTAGGAGTCTCAAATAGGAGCAACCATGTCAACTGTCAAGACACTCCCTAGGGCTGGGGATGTGGCTCAAGCAGTAGCGCGCTTGCCTGGCATGCGTGTGGCCCGGGTTCGATCCTCAGCACCACATACAAACAAAGATGTTGTGTCCGCCAAAAACTAAAAAGATAAATACTAAAATTCTCTCTTAAAAAAAAAAAAAGACACTCCCAGAGGAGCCATCTATGGCCTGTCTCTTAGAATAGCTTCTGGGAAGCTGGGCACAATGGCGCTCACCCATCATCCCAGCTACTCAGGAGGCTGAGGCAGGAGGATCACAAGGCTGAAGTCAGCCTGGAAAACATAGCAAGACCTTGTCTCAAAAAATAAAAAGGGCTGGGGGTGTGGCTCAGTGGTAGAGCACCCCTGGGTTCAATCCCCAATACCCCCCAACACACAAACACACATACAAAAAGCTTCTGGAAGGCAAGGCTTGGGGTTCCACACACTGCAGGGCCTAGTCTCGAGACAGAAACGGTCAGGCTCATCCCCAGGCTGCAAGCTCCCTGGGTTTGGGACATTTACTGACTTCCATAGTGTAAGTACTTTAAGTTGTCTCAAAAACCAGAACAGAGAGCCCACCCCAGCAGCAAACACCCATGGTCCCAGCACCAGAGGCTAAGGCAGGAGGGTCACTCAGCTCAGAAGTTCAGGGCCAGCCTAGCAACGTGAGGAGACCCTGTCTCAGGAAAAAAGCCAAGGTGAGCAGGTGGCTGCTGCACATACCACACCTGAGCAGTGCCTGGAGCAGCACCTAGCACACAGGAGGCCCATAAACACATGGTGGGAGTCCTCAGCTGTCCTGTCCCCCTGTGTCCAACCTGGAAGTCCCTTATGTTGTAATTCCTGCCACTGTTTGCTGGGCCAAAGACTTAGTGCTGTGTCCTGCAGGATCTTTTTTTTTTTTTAATTTTTTAATATTTATTTTTTAGTTTTCGGCGGACACAACATCTTTGTTGGTATGTGGTGCTGAGGATCGAACCCGGGCCACATGCATGCCAGGCCAGCACGCTACCGCTTGAGCCACATCCCCAGCCCCTGTCCTGCAGGATCTTATGACCATTGTCCTCTATGACCACCTGAGCAAAGGCTGGGAAGGGGTGGGATTAGATGGCTCATTGCTAGCTGCTTATGGCCATGGGAGTGCCATGCCAAGGTAAGGGGCCTAGAGTTCTAGGTTGGGCTCAGGAGACCTAGATGTCCATCCCACAGCTGCCATGGCTGGCCAGCACCACTTCCCTCCAGATCTCCCCACCATTAGTGAGGGGACTGAGCACAGTTACCTACTGTCCACAGCACCCTTCCCCAAACCTGTGCTGAAAACCACTGCTCTGCACTGTGGGTCTGAGTTCTTGCCTGGGCTCCACTGGGCAGTTCTGGTGGGTCACTCATGCAGCTGGTGACTCAGCTGGGCCCAGGTGGTACTAGACAGCCGCCTTTGAGTCTAGAGGTGAGCTGCTGAGCTTCCTGCAGCACCATGCTGTGTTCTGTGGAAGGACTCAAAGACTGATGGGAGGGTGTCCAAATGACCTGGCAGCTATTCCAAGAAGCTCCCAGTGGCTAAGCGTGTGACTGTTTTAAGTATTAGAGGAATGATTGTGACTGCATCATATCAAATAATTAAAAACCCATGAGTTCATAGAGGTATTGAACAAGCAGGGAGAAAGTCAATTCCAGAATGGTCTGCAGCAACAAAGAAAATACTGGCCAGGTGTGGTGATCATCCCAGCGGCTCAGGAGGCTGAGGCAGGAGGATTGTGAGGTCAAGGTCAGCCTCAACAACTTAGTGAGGCCCCATAAGCAATTCAGCAAGATCCTGTCTCATAATAAAATGTAAACATCCCTGGGCTCAATCCCTGGTACCAAAAATTAAAATACTGATCCATGCTATAGAGCAAGTAAAGCTCAAAGTATTCTAGCCAAAAAAGGTAGAAACCAAAGATCACATAATGTGTGATTCCATTTATAGAAAAGGCCCAGAAAAGGCAAGTATAGAATAGAGGTTGGTGGTGGCCTGGGGGACATTCTGCAAACAAGCACAAGGGGTCTTTTCAACGTGATGGCAATGTGCTGACGTTGTGTGTGGTAGTGGATACACACCTATTTTTAGTAAAGTACCAAAAATCATTACAGCAAGTACATTTTATCGTTTGCAAATTACACCTTTACAAAATTGTTTAAAACAAACCAAGAAACACACTAGAGAATCACTAATAGTTTAGGTGTGACTTTGGTGTGCGGGTCTTGCTGGAGAAGAATTACCTTCTGAACTACCTGCTTCAAGTATTCATGGGTGAAGTTCACATCTGAAAACTAAAAATATTTTGGAAAAGAAGCTAGCTGTGGTGGTGCACACCTGGAATCCCTCTTACTCAGGAGGCTGAGGCAGGAGGACCTCAAGTTGAAGGCCAACCTGGGCAAGTGAGCGAGATCCTGTCTGAAAATAAAATAAGAAAGGCTAGGGAGGGAGCTCAGGGATACAGTGCTTGCCTAGCATGTGTGAGATTCTGGGTTCAATCCCAAGGACCACACCCACACAGCAAGGAATTGGAAAATACATACAGGAAATACTATAGCTAAGTACTAAATACTAATATTAGTTTTAGGGGTGTTCTTTATAGGCTTTGTTTTGTTTTGCAGGGTCAGGAATTGAACCCAGGGCTTTGTGCATGCTAAGCAGGTGTTCCACTACTGAGCTACAACCCAACATTGTGTGTGTGTGTGGTTGTAGATGAAAACAGTACCTTTGTTTTATTTATAAGTGGTGCCAAGGATTGAACCCAGTGCCTCACACATGCTAGGCAAGCATTGTACCACTGAGCCACAATAGCAGCTTTAACCCCAGACTTCAAAGGTTCCCCCCAAAACTTTTCTGTAACATTTGAATTCTTGTTTTTTTAAAAACTGGAGATCAAATCCAGGGCTTCTTGCATGCTAGGCAAGCACTCTATCACAGAGCTATGTTCCCAGCACCACCACACCCTGCCACTTTTTAATTTTGGTAGTTGCTTAGGTCTTGCTCAATTGCTGAGGCTACTTGCCATCCCCCTGCCTCAGCCTCCTGAGTGCTGGGATTATAGGCATGTGCTATGCTACCACTGCTGGCACCCAGCCCACTTTTTAATTTCAAGGCAAGACCTTGTTAAGTTGCCCAAGTTGGCCTTGAATTTTGTTCCTCCTACCTCAGCCTCCCACGTTGCTGAGACTTAACAGCTTGTGATTTTTGGATGTCCATGAAGTAGCTGAAGACATGGCAGGCTGGATCTGCACTGCCCCCCCCCTGCCCCCCGCGAGTCTCCCTGCCCCTGCTGGGCTCTCCTAGTGCAGTCAGAGAAACTGAGCCTGGAAGCCTGTGGGCCCCCCGCCCAGTGCCTACAGCTTGCAGACCTGGAAACTAAGGCCCGGAAGTGGCCTTCCTGCCATAGCGCTGAGGCGAGTGCACGCCCAAGGCGCCCGCCTCCCGCCTGCCTGTGAGCGCAGCACTGCCCAGGACCAGTAGTCCTGTTCAGTGAGGGGTTTCTCCCGCTCTCTGTCCCCTGCTTTGGCCAAGAAGCAAAGAGCCACCCCATCCCCATGTCAGTGCAGGAGGAGATGGTGTCTGTCATTTATTGGACTCGCGGTCAACGCACAGGCTCCACCACACGCTGCACCATACAGAAGCTGGAAGCAGGCCAAGTGCACGGCGTGTAAACAAAGATCAGGTGAGAACGCCACTTCCAGTGACCGGGGCAGCGAGCGCCCAGGCGTACATTCACAGCGCAGGGTAAGTGCAAAAGAGGGAATGTGAGGATGGAGGGCCAGGAGGGGGTCAGGCCAGAGCCACACTAGTGCCCATGGGTCCTCCAGTCTGGGGACCAGGTTCAGAGAGGACAGGCATGCCCAGCATCACCCTTCACCCGTCCCCCCTTCTGGGTGTGCCCTCCCCACCCAGCAGCTCTTCCCATTCCAGGGATAGGGACCTGGTCCCAGGGCCAGTGCTCTGGCTCCAGCCTGGGAAGCCAGGAGTCTGTTTCTCTAAAGGTCTCAGAACCTGGAAGGGGCAGAAACTCCAAATAAACTGTTAAGGCAATAAATAAAATTTTCCAGCTCAGGCAAAACACTGGCAGAGCCGCAAGTCTGAAGGGCTGGCAGAGCCCTGGCAGCTGCTGGGACAGATGCTAGCAGGATCCCCACAGGAGCAGCGGGTGGTGCCTGCCCTGAGGCGGGCTCCACTTCCTTAGTCAGCTCCTGGAGCGTCTGTGCGTCGTGTTGAAGGTACAATGCCAGGTAGTTTCTTGTCCCCATGAGGGTGGGGGATCTGGTCCAGCCGTGTTCATCTTCTGACATCCCCCACCGTGGTCCCCGGCCCCTCACTCCTGGGGCTATTGATGGCAGCACAGGTGATGGTCCCAAGTACCCCTGGTCAGCACCCCCAACTCCAGCCTAGCACCACTCAGGGAATTCCTGGCTTCCCAGGGGAGGTGGGAGGAGCCCGGAGCACCCAGCACCACCTGCTCCATCTTTGGTGGTGGCAGAGGTGGAAGGAGAAATGACAGTCTTTGGCAGGGTATGGGCACATGGGGGGACAGTATCCTGGGTTGGTGCTCAGGTTTGTCAGGGCCAGTCCCTGCCAGGGGGAGCAGGCCCACCTCTGTCCTGGAAAAAACAATTTTTTTTTTTTTTTGGCAGCGCTGGGGATGGAACCCAGGGCCTTGCAAACACCATACCCCTGAGCTGCAGCCCAGCCTTCTGTCAACCTCTGGATGACCCAGACCTTTGCCACTAGGTGCTGTCCCCCACCCCTGTGCACACTTGCAAACTCTTGCAGGAGGCAGGCAGGGTGGGGCCTTCTGGACTGACCAGAGGACACCTGGGTCCTGAGACCGGCCACACAGGTGCAGGGTGCTGTAGCTCAGGACTCCGTGATGCTCACCACGAGGCCGTGCCGCTCCCACCTCTACCTCCCCCCTCAGAGCCCACCTGTGGACAGCCCTAGCGTAGTCAGAGCTTCTGGGGCCCCACACTCACAGGACTTTGGCTTTTCCTGTCCCAGGTCTCCACGATGCCACCCTCTCCCAGGGACCCTTCCCCAGAGACAGCTGAGGGCAGTCAGGTGGGCCTCTCCATGCCTCCAGCCCTGTCCAGGGAAACTTGCTCTCTGAGCTTTGGGGATTCCCAGATGAGGGGGGTGGGGCAAGCTCAGAGGCAACTGCCCTGGCCACCCTGGCCCTTGAGTGCCAACCCAAAAGGAGGGAGGGTCACCTTCTCTCCCATCTGCATGAGCGAGGCCAGCCGCCACCTCCCCTCCAGCCTATGCCTGCCACTACTGCGGCTCTGCCAGGGGCCGGTTCTCTCGGGGCAGTGCCCCATTCAGGCCAATGCTGCTGGTCATTGGTGTCCCCAGGTATCCCAGAAGGATCTCGCTGCGGCGCCGGGACAGTTGCAGGATGTCATCCGCCAGCGCTGGCACCGATGTGTAGCGCACATTGTCCAGGTCAAACATGTCCCTCAGGTACTGCACAATCTGGTGCTGGGGGCACAGGGCTGGTGTTGGGCCTGGGCCCTTCAACGATGTCCTCGAAACCCATTAGGTCCCCTTCCCGATCACCAGGGCTCCAACCCATCCTCTCCCACCCTTGGGCTACTCTCCTGTTGCTGCCCCTGGCCCCTTCCTCTGGGAGCAGGTCCAGGCCCTCACTGCACTGCTGGCCCCTCCAGGGCTCCTGTGCCAGGGGCATGGAAAGAGGGGTGCTGCTGTGTACCTTGAAGAAAGCACAGACTTCAGCGAGCTGGGGCTTGGGTCCAAGGAAGCCAAAGGCCAGGACAGGACTAACGTGCTCCGATACGGAGTAGAAATGGGAGATGAAGCCATCGGGCACCTGTCAGGGCGACAGTTAAGGAAGCGCACTGTGGTCAGGGAGGGTGAGCGCCCCCAGGTCCTGGGGGGCATCTGAGGGTGGTTACATGGTGGCTAGGTGGCCCTGGGCAAGCAATGGGTACTTCACAGCCATTCCTCACTGGGACAGGAGACTGCTGTGGGAACTGCATGAGGCGGGGCTCCAGAGGCCCCAGCAAGGAAGTGCCCAGAGCACTGGCAGTGGCAGCTGGTACCAGCTGGGCAGCAGAGCCCAGAGGGCAAAGTGAGCATGGACGGCAGCTAAGAGAATGCAGCCGGCTGTCACCAGCGTGCTGCGTGGGAGGAGGGGCTCTGCCTGCTCCCTGGGCATTCTGCCTTGACCCGCCAGCCCACCCTGTGCACAGCCCTCCCAGGATGTCCCTTCCCCTATGGCGAGTCCCTGGACACTTCCTAATGGCTACTCTGTGCTGGGCCCTGGGGGGTGAGACAAAAAGGACCAAAATGACCATGGGGAGCTCCAGGCCAACGGAGGGGTGAGGGCAGGAAAGGTGGCCAGTGCAGGAGATGAGAAAGGCCAAAGGTGCAGCAGAGTCTGGGGACTCGGGAGACCTCCCTGCACCAGTGTTTCCCACCCATCTCGCCTGAGAACCAGGTCTGGTACTAGGCTCCCTGGTGACTGTATGGCCACTCACCATCAGGAGCCTCCTCTTGGCTTTCAGGACCGACCAGCAAGCAGTGGCCAGGGCCTAGAGCAGAGATGGACCCACCTCGGTGTCAGAATAAGGCCAACCCCAGAGCCCCTACCCACCCTGCCTGGTTTCTAATCCACCCCAGGGAGGAAGATGGGGCTCAGTCCTGAGCTCTAGATTCTTTCCCCTAACTCAGGAATTTAGCCTTGACTGCAAGGGGCCCTGAACTAGGTGCTGCTCTCCTTGAGCCTGGGTTTCCTCCCATAGAAAATGGCCAGGATGAAGCCCCCATCCCATCTGGTGGTTGGGGGAATCACAGTGACTGCTGAAGAGTCCCTGTGGTCCAGCAGACTCTCTCCTACTCTGTGCCTCATTTCTTCTTGTTTTGGTTGTTTCCTCCTATTTTCACTTAATAGGATGTATCACTATTGGGTGGAAGTAATGCCAGCACCGAGTGAGCAGAGCTGGGGATCCACGCTGCAGAAAGGCCGGGCTCGCTCCTGGTGCTGGACCCAGTGAAAGGCAGTTCTAGGGTGCCCAGGAAGAAACCGCAGGCCCAGAAACTGATGGGCAGGTGCCCAGCCCTGGTGCCCCAAGCAGTGATGGCATGAGAAGGGGTCAGGTGAGTTCCAGGATCTTGTGATGTGAGGTTTGGGGTGGGACAGTGGCCCACCGTCTCCTTGAAGCTGTCTGACAGCCAACGGTTTCGCAAGACAGCAAGCACTGAGGATGGGGGGTTCTCCAGGTCCTCGAAGGCATCCATGAGGATGAAGTCAAGCACGATGTCGAAGAAGCTCATGCAAACCACCTGCGGGGAGTTCAGGGCTGGGCTCAGAGCCACTGTGCACACAGCAAGGCTGAAGCCAGAAGGAGCCTGGATGTGACATGTGGAGGGTGTATATATCTTTCCCTTGCTCTGCAACAGAGGCCACCTCCCTCATGCCTGTGCCTGGGGCAGGGCAGGAACCAGGGCTCTGAGCAGTAATGGTGTCATCTCAGCTGCTTGGAAGAGAGGCAGAAGTTGGCATACCCTTCCCCCACCCCCAAGGATCTCAGGTACAGAGGAGCCCAGGAAGTTGAGCACAGACCAACTCACCCCACGGCCCTCCAGCTCTAGCCGAGTGGTGGCCCAGGTCTCAGGCCGCAGAGCATAGCTCAGCATCTCCTCATAGCTCTCCAGGAAGCCTTTGGGGCTCTGTAGGGAGAAGCACAGCCTGTTTTGGTTGTGGGAGAGGCCCCAAGCCCCAGCTGGATGAGATCCACAGGGACAGGCTGGCCTGTGGATGGGGACATGCCAAGGCAGGGATGGGGCCTTGCCCTAGGGAAGACCAGGTGAGGAAGCATCTACTGCCTGCTGCAGTGGGCCTCTCCAGAGAACCAGGGAGCACCTGCTGCCTTCCAGATGTGCACAGGCACAGCACAACCTGACTCAAGGGAGGCACGAGAACCTGAGCTTTAGTCAGGTGGTGTATGATCCAAATTTTGACCTTGGGCCTCAGAGGTGAGACGAGAAGCTACAGCCCACATTCATAAGGCTGTTCTGGGGGAACTGGTGAACTCCTGCCTCTAAGACAATCAATCCAGTGCCTGACACCTAAGTGTTCAATACAGAGTCTAAGACTAATGCAGGGCTGGGGCATGACTCAGTGGCAGAGTGCTTGCCTAGTGTGTGCATGGCCCTGGATTCCATCCCCAGCACAGCAAAATCAATCAATCAATCAAAAAGACTGCTAATGTTGGGGCTGAGATTGTGGCTCAGGGGCAGAGCGCTCGCCTAACATGTGTGAGGCGCTGGGTTCAATCCTCAGCACCATATAAGATAAATAAATAAAATAAAAGTATTGTGTCCAACTACAACTGAAAAAATATTTTAAAAAAAAGACTGCTAACGCTACTAAGAACAAAGACCCTCAGCTCTACCATGCACCTTCACTCTGAGACCCTGTGGTTCAGTCAGCCTCTCGATGCAGTTTGCTGACATGGGTCTGCGCAGAGACAGGAAGTACCAGGGTCTGCTCTAAGCATGGCTGACTCCCCATCAGGAGTTATGCCCACTTTAGGTGATGCTCTAAAGAGCCAGGCAGGATGACAGGTTGATGACATTTATAAAGACCATGGGCAAAAGGGGACAACAGGTGGATATTCATCAAACTGTGAACAGGGTAGAATCAGAAACAGTTTTTACTTTGTTCTTTTTGGTTTCTTTTGTGCCCCCGCCCCCATTGAACCCAGGAGCACTTTACCACTGAGCCACGCCCCCAGATCCCCAGCCCATTTTTAAATTTTGAGATAGGGAATTGCTTAGGGCCTTACTAAGTTGCTGAAGCTGGCTTTGAACTTGCAATCTTTCTGTCTCAGCCTCCTAGGCCACTGGGATTACAGGCATGCGCCATGGCACCTGGCTTTTTTTTTTTTTTCCTTAGTTTTTCCTACAAAGAGCATCCACCCATCAACTTTTTAACCATTTATTTATTTATTGGTACTGAGGACTGAACCCAGGAGTGCTCAACCACTGAGCTACATCACCAGCCCTTTTATATATTTTATTTAGAGGCGGATCTTAGAGACAGGGCTGAGTTGCTTAGGGCCTCGCTAAGTTGCTGAGGTTGGCTTTGAACTCATGATCCTCCTGCCTCAGGCTCCTGAGTTGCTGGGATTACAGGTGTGCACCACTGTGCCTGGCTATCATCACTTTTAATTTTTTTTATCCTTAATTAACTTTATACACACACACACACACACATACATATACACGATATTATATAGATAGATACATATATATATATATATATGTGTGTGTGTATATATATGTTAATTATATATATATATATATAAAATATATATAAGTTAAGCAAGTCACATGCTCAGTAAGTGCTCTACCACTGAGCTACATCCCCAGCCCTACAATTTACAATTTTATTTCTTTATTTACTTACTTATTATCATTTTACTTATTATTATTATTACTGTGGCCTAGGCTGGTCTCGAGCACCTGGGCTCATCAGGCATGCACCATACCACCCCACTGTTTTTATTAAGTTTGAAAGAGAATTTTAGAGATGGCCCTGGGCTGTCCGGGCACCCCCAGAGCCTTATGTCCTTACCTACAAATGACCAATGACCCTCAATATCAATGTCAAGGAGGAAGGTAACTGACCCTTGACACTTCTAAGCCAGCTGAGCAGGTCTGACATGGGGCATGCCTGCTCACACACAGGGACCCACTCACATACAATGACCCGGAGATTTCTGGGACTGACCCATTGACACACGGTGAGGAAGAAGCCTGATGCTGTAACTCCAGGGCCTGGCCACGCCCCATAGGGCCAGTATCTTCTCAGATGGCCTGGCCCTGGCCACCTGTCTGGGGGCCCTGATGGGGCCACGTTGGCTCCTGCTGTAGTCACACAGCTCAGCACAGGCTGTGGCGCTCGGGAGCTGCCAGACAGCCTCTTGCACTTCTTAATGACAACAAAGCCCAAGACCTGCCCGGGGCAGAGGCTGGACGGAGGCATGCCCCAGAGGGGCTGGTCTGCCCCGCTCCTGGCACCTGCTCAGCCTTTGTTCACTCATTCACTTGTCCTCCTGGGGATGCCACAAAGAGCGGGCCACAGGCACAGGATAGGCCAGGCCCACCTGGGTGCAAAGCCCCGCTGCACGCCTAACCTGCTCAGAGTCCAGACCGTCCCCTCTGCCACACAGGAGCTGCAGTAGGCTCCAAGAAGCAATTGCGAGTAAAGAAATGCAAGTAAAGCGCTCACTGCTAGGTAAGTGGTAGGTGCTGGAGGTGGCCATCCAGCCTACATGAATGTTCAAGGAGCACTTGCCCTGAACCTCGTGGGCTTCACTGAGACGGGAGGAGGACAGGGCTTGAGCAGGATGCAGGGCACTGAAGCCACCGCAGCCAGAGTGAACCCTCATCTTTTTATTCATTAAGTCCTACACATACTTTTTCACATGCTTCTATGTATATTTCACATAAAATTGCTGAAGTAAAGAAGAATTGGCTGGATAATGTGGTTCTAGCTCCTAGAAATAAACAGATGAAAAATTAACATTCAAATGTAAAGACCCAGCTGTCAATAAAAACAATCTTATGCAGTAGAAAAAAGAAGAAAAAAGAATTAAGGAACAGTGTGCTAGGCACACAGGGACCAGCGCAGGGGAAGGCCCAGATCAGGCGGAGGGCCTGCTGTGCACTGGAAGCCCTGGGACCTTCGCTCTGGCCAGGGTGAGGCCACCACAGAACAGAGCTCAGGCTGCACATGGCAGGCAGCAGGAATGAAGGGTGTTCAGAAATGGAGGATGAGGGCACATATGGACTTCAGAATCGCTTCTCCAGCATGTGGGCAGAGCACTCGGGAAAAGGCCTGTTCCAAAACTTTGCTCCAATTCGTTAAAGAAACAACAAAAAACCCACAAGTGGCCAATAAACACGAGAAATTATGCAACCTCACCCATAACCAAAGAGCCATAAAGCAATGGATAAAATACAAAGAATAGAAAGATTACTAATATCTCATGGGAATATAAGTGTCCAGGCCTTGCTGAGGGCAAACTGGCAAGCTCTGCCGGCCTTCAAAACTTCCTGCCAAGACCATGGACAGAGAATTCATGACTCAGGGACCTGAGTGAGGAGAACTAAAGTAGCGCTGTCCGTGATGTGGACTGCTGTACAGTCAGTAACTGTCACCCCAGGGCCTGAGGTGCCTCCATGGGTGAGCTACGCCCTTAGATCACACAGCAAAGCTGCAGGCGGTTGGGAGGGTCCTAAGGCTGGGAAACCAGACAGCAGTGTCCAGGGGTGAACAGCCTCCACAGAAGCCGGCAGAAGGGGCACGTTCCCAACCATAGACAGGCTCACATTTCCCTTGGGCAGCAGGGGTCCCCTTGGGCAGAGAGGGTGCGGGGAACCTTTTACAGTTTGTGTTTTATAATTGGTAAGTTTTGTAAAACTGTACTATGTTGGAATCTGAAATAAAAAGCAATACAGATTTTTTGTTTTTCAAAATTGGCACAGGGAGTCAAACCTCAGCCCTTCCTCCACTGCCCACAGGATGAAGTCAAAGCTCCTCTGCTTGGTTTTAAATTGTTTTCTGAAAAAAAAAAACAAACCCCACCCTGGCTACCTTCTCAGCCTTGGTCATCAGGCCTGTCACCATCTGCCGGCCGACCTCTCCGAAGAACAGCTGGTTACTCTGGTCTTCCAGGAGCCCCTACAGGATGAGGAAGGGAGAGCTGCTGGGGCCCCTTTGCCCATGGAGGAGGCAGTACAATGGGCTGGGCAGGAGATCCCATCTGCCCAGGAGGTATCCTGCACAGGGCCGCTCTGGCCAAGATGGAAGCCATGTGCACACCACATGGCCACACTGCCCCTCATCCTTGGCTCCACCCTCCCCAAGAGGCCCTGGACCACACCTACCTCAAAGGCCTGCCGCACACAATGCAGCTTGGCCAGGAAGTCCTGGTCACTGTAGCAGCCCAGCAGCTCCGTCCTGAGGGGAGGACAGATAGTGTCACACTTGCCTGCTCAGCAAAGTCAAGTGGGGGACAGGGCGCACTCGGGTGGGGAGTGGGAAGCTTTGCCAGCCTCACCTGGCACTGTGACGCCTCCCTGTAGGCCTCAGCCTCCCAAAGCCTGAGGCAGAGGTTTGACGGATGGTCTCTGAGGAGAGGCCAGCCTCCTCATCACGGTGGCTGGGCTGACCTTGGCCTCCTTTAGGCCACAACCAGCCCTCAGCCATCACTGGCAAAGGACCAAAATGGTCAAATTGCTCCCAGAGGGCAGCACATCGGGCAGGGGGTTTCCACCTGCTGCAGCTGCCCTTTGTCCAGATCACCAAAGATTCAACCAGAACTTTCAACCATTTTTGATCAGTGAACTTTTTTTTGTGTGTGTGTGTGTGTGTGGTGCTAGGGATCAAACCCAGGGCTTTGTGCATGCAAGGCAGGCACTCCACCAACTGAGCTACTCCCCAGCCCAGACCTGATCAGTGGACTTTTAAATACATGAATTTGCAAGCCTTAGGAAAATTTGAGTTTTATACTATACAGAAAAGCTAACTCTCTGATGGCAAAGAGACCGAAATATAAGCACAGACAAAAGCAGGATGAGAAGGGACAGACCCGCTCAGGCCCATACACTACAAAGGACAGAACCTGGACAGAAGCCAGGGCTCTGTCCCCAAAGCCTGGGTTCTTAACCTCTACTACCAAGGGTTGTCAGGACATGGTGTAGGACTGTGTCCACTGTGCTGCTGGGATGGACCATTTGAGAACTCAGAACAATGGTTAACTATTAATTACTGTAACTTTTGGTTTTTTAAATTTTTTTACATAATACTTTATTTACTTTTACATGGTGCTGAGGCTCGAAGCCAGGGCCCCTCGCATGCAGGGCAAGCACTCTACCTTTGAGCCCGAGCCCCAGCCCTGCAGCTGTCATTTAGCGGACCTGCTGGACTTAGTTCAAGACCAGCCAGGTCTCCCTCAGCAGGGGCAGAAGCCACGAGCAGCTCCTCCACCAGCTCCACGCAGTGGGTTTCGCCCACTGCCTCCTGTGCCCTCCTTGTACCCTCACCTGAGGCTGCGACAGGGCACCTTCCCATCTTTCACCAGTTGCAGGGCCTCCTCGTAGGCAGCAGCAGGCCTAGATAGTGGGATCGGGTAGTCCCCCACCTGCAGGGACTCCAAGAGCTGGGGAAGAGACACAGGAGGGGCTGAGGGAGCCAGCGAGCAACATTCCACGAGGCGAGGGCGCCTGCCTACCCTTCTGCAGGCAGAGGCTCCCGAGGGGTCTGACCACTGCCCCTCTCAGAGCAGATCAGAGGGAACACTGGTCCATCAGATGGAGGCTTGGCTTCAAGTCCTCCTGTCCCAGGCAAGGACATGTGTGTGCCCAACACTGGAGGCCACACAGGAGGCTAATGCCAAGCACCAACCCCACGACAGATGAGTAGGGGCCAGAGCCCCGGTGGGCCTCCTCTCTAGCCATGATGCCTAGCATCTCAGGCCCAGTCCTCAGCAATTCAGAGTCCCCAGGGAGCGACACTCTGCTTCTGCGAAGTTCAGCTCCAGCTGGAGGAAGTGCCTCACATTCCCACAGCCCAGTGCTCCCAGGCTGGCCTCCCGGGAGCTTTGGGCTGCCCAGCCTGCTTGGTTCCCTGCCCCAGTTACCTCAGTGGCTGAGAAGAAGGAGTCCTCCGAAGTCAGGCTCTCCTCGTCGTCAGCCCGCAGACGCAGCGAGCCCTCGGTGAGGGGCAGCATGAGGGTCCTCTCTGAAAGAGCAGTGAGAGGGCTGAACTGAGGCCCCTCTCGGGGCTGAAAGGAATCTGGGCACAGGGATCGGCAACTGAGCCCTCCTGGCCTCCAGTGTCTTCCCTGGGCCTGGTAGGTGTGGACACCAAGCTGCCAAGGGGACTTGCCATGGTCACACCACTGGACTTGAGGTCTGGTGGCCCCTCAGCTCTGCAGGAAAGTACTCAGTTTACTGTGCAGTCCTGGGCAAGATGCTTCCCCTCTGACAGGCTGGAACTCGGCCTGAGGGAGGCAGTGGCCACTCCTGGCATCCCATCTCTGCCTGCTCAAGTGTAGAAGGCTCTGGTCCTTCAAAGGCACTCAGCCACTCAGCCTCCCAAAGGTCTCAGAGCTCAGGAACATGCTGACACAGGCCCCAAGGCCTGCTCCCAAGGGCTGCACAGGTACACTGGCCAGGGGCTCCTGGGGCCTCACCTGCTCTACTGGCCCTGCTGAAAGGGTGCCTCAGCTCCTCATCTATGCAACAAGGACTGGGTGCATGAAGCCAGACCCCCAGTGGGCCCCGGGAGTCAGGAGCTGTCTAAGGCACCGAAGGGGCCCCCTGGTTCTCTGGCTCCTCTATACCTCCATCCCCCACCCTCAGCCCCATAGCTGCTCTATGGCCCCCTCACCAAGGTCCAGCAGCATGCTATCCGAGGGGAAGGTGGAGCCGAACTCCTCCTGCAGGTGGTAGGCCCGGTGCAGCAAGGACTCCAGCTTCTCCGCAAATTCCCTGCGCTGTGACTCTGGCTGTGAGGAAAGCCGTGACCATCAACGCACGCCTGCCACCTCCCCAGTGAAGGGCCTCTTGCCCCATCCAGCCCCTGGAGAAAGGGGAGAAGGCACTGGGGCCTGGCACCAAGAGCACGAGCTCTGGACCTGCTGCCCATGACAGGAGACACCAGGGCCATGGGCACTTGAAATGTGGCCAGTCCCAACAGACATCCCTACGTACACATGCACAATGGATCCCTCACTTAGAGCCAAAAGGAAATGCAAAATATCTCAGCAGTCTTTTAGGTCACCTACAGGCCAAAATGATCAAAATTTGGATACACCAAGTGATATAAAGCATATCATTAAAATTAAACTTAAAATTTCTTTTTGCCTTTGTTTTATTTGAATATTGGATTGAACCCTGGGGTGCTTTATCACTCCGTTACATCCCCTGGGTCTCAATAAGATGTTGAGGCTGCACTTGAACTTGCAATCCTGCCTCAATGTCCTGAGCTGCTGGGATTACAGGTGAGTGCCACCATGCCTGGCTTTTTTGGCTTTTTAATATGGTCTCTACAAAATTTTAACATGGGGCTTTCTACTGAACAGTGCTGTTCTGCAGCCAAACACACCTGGGTGTGGATCTTGGCACCAGTTCCAAACTGTGTGACCCTTGGCAAATAATTTTCCCATTTTGAGCTTCTCATTATCTGTCAGTGGAAATGAGTGTGCCCACCTCCCAGAGTTTGGGGAAAAACTTCAATGAGAAAAAGTATGCAAAACACTTCACACAAACACTGGCCCATAGAGACAGCCCGTGGCTGCCAGCTCTCATGATAATTACTGTAGTTATTATTTTAACCATGAGAGCAGTTCAGAGCCAGAAGAGATGGGATGAAATTCCCTGTTGCTAGCCACGCGCGCCTGGGAAAGCACTGCACTGAGCCTCAGCAGCACTGCCTTTTGAGGACAGAGCCTGACTGCAGGTAACAGCTGCTGTGCTTGGGTCTGGCATGACTCCCAAGGTCACGTGTTGAGGGCTCAGCCCCAACACAGCAAGGTTCAGAGGTGGGGCTTCGAGAGGTGCCTGGGTTGCGCGGGCTCTGACCTCATCAGTGGAAGAATCCACTCATGGACTCCATTCAATGGCATTATGGCAGGTGGGGCCCAATTTTTAAAAGTAGGTCACTGGGAGACCATTTTTTGCCTGGCCCCTTTTCTTTCTCTTTGCCTCCCAGCTGCCATGAGCTGAGTACATTTCCTCCAAAGCCCTTCGGCCAAGACGTTCTGCCTCACCTCAGCCCCAAAGCAACAGGGCCCACCACCCACGGACTGAAACCTCTGGAATTATGGGCTAAAATAAACCTGTCCTCCTCCAACTTGCCTGTGTCAGGTATTTTGGTCACAGCGATAAAATGCTGACTGATGTAGCTGTTACTGTGGTGTTGGGGTGCAGAGTGTAAGAACCCCAGCACCATGCTGTGGGGTTGTAGCCAGCAGATCACAAGGCTGGCCAGCAGAGGGAAGGCTGTGTGGGAGGATGAGGGAGGCAAGGGGACGCTTGCAGAGAGGCCCAGGAGGGTCTTGGCTATGGGGGGGGTGCAGGTCTGGAGTGAGCAGGCTTCCTGGGACACTGCCTTCTGCTACACAGCACCCTGTGGCCTCCAAGGCCTCCTTGAACCCTGAGCGCTCTGGGCCCAGGGAGAGACACGAGCCAGCCGACTACTGTGTTTCTGCAGGTTACCAGAGCCTGCCCCTGCATGTAACTGGACCCTGGGAGGAGGCTGCTGGGGAGAAAGGGCTGGAAGGGCTGGGAGTCACTGGGCTTGCCCTGGACAGGGACCTCGCTGTTCAGCCTGAAGGTGTCCTGGGAAGGCAGGGATACTGTGATCCAGATTCACAGAGAAAATACAAGGAGGTAGCAGAGCATGGTGACGACTCCAGAAGCCGAGGTGGGAGGATCGCAAGTTCCAGGTCAGCCTAGGAACTTAGCCAGACCCTGTTTCAAAAAATAAAATAAGAACTTTTAAAAAGAGCTGGGGGGGTGGGGGTTGAGGTTGTGGCTCAGTGGTGGAGCGCTTGCCTAGCACGTGTGAGGCACTGGGTTCAAACTTCAGCACCACATAAAAATAAATAAATCAAATAAAGGAATTGTGTCCATTTACAACTAAAAAATACAAATATATATATATATTTTTTTTAAAAAGGGCTGTGGGTACCTGGGGTGGTGGCTCAGCGGTACAGAGCTTGCCTGGCACATGTGAGGCCCTGGGTTTGATCCTCAGCACCACATAAAAATCAATAAAATAAAGGTATTGTGTCCAACTACAACCAAAAAATAAATATTAAAAAAACAAGGGCTACGGGCTGGGCACAGTGGCACATGCCTGTAATCCCAGTGGCTCTGGAGGCTGAGGCAGGAGGATTGTGAGTTCAAAGCCAGCCTCAGCAATGGTGACGCACTTAGTAACTCAGTGAGATTTGTCTCTAAATTAAAAAAAAAAAAAAAAAATGGGGATGTGGCTCAGTGGTTGATTGCCCCTAAATTCAATCCCCCCACGCCCCCAAAAAAGGCTGCAGTTGTAGCTCGGTGATAGAGCACTTGCCTACATTACACAAGGCCCTGGGTTCCATCCTTAGTATTGAAAAGAAAAGAAAGAAAATAGAAAAATTTTTAAAACTCAAGAAGTGTCCCAGATTATCCAGCTATAGCCTGGCATAGCTAGACCCAGGCTCAGCTTACAGGACCTCAGACCCATGGGCCTCTTTGCTGGGTTCTATAGCAGGGCCAGGGCCCGTCTGTGTGGCCAGAAGAGCCTAGCAGCTCTGGCAGCAGCCTGCTCACTACTTTGCTGTAAAATGACCTCAGGGTAGGCAAAAGTTTCTTAGCTATAAAATTAAAAAATAAGTAAACTGAATTTTAGAATTAAAAATTTTGGTTGGGGGTGGTGGTGCATATCTGTAATCCCAGTGGCTCAGAGGCTGAGGCAGGATGATTGCAAGTTCAAAGCCATCCTCAGCAACTCAGTGAAACCCTGTCTCTAAATAAAACATAAAAAGGACTAGGGATGTGGCTCAGTGGTAAAGCACCCCTGCGTTCAATCCCCAGTACCAATAATTAAAAAAAAAAAATTTGTGCTTCAAAGGATACTATCAAGGAAGTGTAAACAGCCAGGCATGGTGGTACATACTTGTAATCCCAGCTACTCAGGAAGCTGAGGCAGGAGGATCTCAAGTTCAAGACCCCGTCTCAAAAAATAAAAGGGCTGGGGATGTGGCTCTGTGGCAGAGCACCCCTGGGTTCAATCCCTAGTACAAAAACAAAACAAAACAAACAAAAAACCAAAAATCAAAAATACCACCCCTACATAAATGCTCATAGAGCGTTCTCATTACAGCCAGAGTGCAAATGACCCAAACATCCATCTACTGATGTATAAAAATCAATCAAGTGGATACATAAAATGGATATCCATATGCTGGAATGTCATTCAGCAGTGAATCTTGGAAGCACAATGCCATATGAAGGAAGCCAACCACAGAAAACCACATATTTCATGATTCTACTTATAAAAATGTCCAGGATAGGGCTGGGGGTATGGCACAGGGTAGAGCGCTCGCCTCACATGTGCGAGACCCTGGGTTCGGTCCTCAGCACCACATAAAAATAAATGAATAAAATAAAGATTTTTAAAAAATGTCCAGGGGGCTGGGGATGTGGCTCAAGCGGTAGTGTGCTCACCTGGCATGCGCGGGGCGCTGGGTTCGATCCTCAGCACCACATACAAACAAAGATGTTGTGTCCGCCGAAAACTAAAAATAAATATTAAAAATTTCTCTAAAAAAAAAAAAAAAAGTCCAGGATACGCACATCTATATAGGGAGAAGGGAGACTCACGGTTGTCCAGGGCTGGGGGATGAGGAAATGTGGGGGTGACTGCTGAAGTACAAGGGGTTTCATGAAAATGTTCTGGGAGCAATTTCCATGATGGACAGACCAACTCCAGGAAGCTACTAAAGCCACTGATTTATAGAAAGTGTATAAATTTGATAGCATGGGAATTCTATTTGATAAAGCTGTTTTAAAAATTATAGTGTAGAAATATGCCTTTGGGGGCCCACGGTGGTTACTCCTGGGAAAGGATGGGGGCTCAATGACAAGCACCCTGTGTGACAGCCCAGCAGCCAGGAGGCTGAGGGCCTTCGCCCCACACCACAACCATGAGCTGCGAGGGCAGGGGCTGGGCTCCTCCATTTTCCTCTCTGGGATTTCTGTGGTTTTCACTGTTCTCCAAGTGGGGATTCCATTGCTTTCACAGTGAGGAAAACAGTACAAGATCCAGGATCCTAAGATGCAGCTTCACCAATGAGTATAATTTGGGAAACAAAGCAGCCTCGCTCACTCCCCCTCCCTGACAGAGCCTGCAGGTGTCCATCATCTACTGCATGGACTGGCATCAAGGGGCTATAGCGTGGGCCCTCTACACCATGCCCCAGGCACTTCCCTGCCCTCGTGTCTGCCCACGGCCCCTGCAGGCATGCCCACATGGCAGGAGGCCTCTGAGCTCATGCCCCAGTCAGGGCAGAGGGCAGGTGCACTCTTAGCCTTTGAGCGGCTGTGCCAGGTGCAATCCAGGTCTGCAAACTGCTTGCCAGCACCCCCACCTGATGGCTCCTGGCCAACGGGAGACGCAGGTGAGACACAGACAGAGGTGCAGGGTGGAAGAGTGGGCATTTTCACCGTGAGTTCCCCTGTGGGTCCAGCTCCCATAGAACAGCCCTGACCTGGGCTCAGGGCCACAACCTCTTCCCACATCCCTCCAGCTCCTCCCTCATCCAGGCAACTGAGTCCCTGGATTAAACTCCCTGTCTGGTTTGGTTTGATTTAGAACTGAAGGTTGGGGCCAGGATGCTGCAGTAGGGAGCCACAGACCAAGTCCTTTTTATTTTTTATTTTGAAACAGGCTCTCACTAAGTTGCTGAGGGTCTTGATAAATTGCCGAGCCTGACCTTGAACTTGCAATCATCTCCCAAGTCTCTGGAAACTCCCTGTTTTTGGCGCCTCAAGTTGTTGCCATTTCCTGGCTGGCTGCAGATACCATCATGCCATTCCTGAAAGAGGGCTCCTGCTTGTCCTCCAGCAGGACAGGGACCCACCAGCCTTTGGTTTTGCTTTTTATCTTTTTCAATACAGAAAAGCATGAGGGGAAAAAAAAAAACAGCCCAAGATATCACTACGGCACCTTGCCATAAGGGTCTGTTCAACATTATAAGAATCAGAGAGGCTGAGGGTGCGGCTCAGCAACAGAAGCATGGCAAGGCCCTGGGCTCCGTCCCCAGCACCAGCACCAAAACAAACAAAACAAAACCTAAAAATATTCAAAAAGAAAAGAAAAGTACTGCACAGTAAAGTAGAAGTTTTTCCCACCTTCCTCTTCAGACCTCTCCCCTAGTAAATGCATCCATTCAGAGAAAAATGGAAATGTACGAACACACCAGTGCTCTCTACTGCACATACACGTGCGTCTTGTTCAAAGCCATTGCACACAGGGTAGTGCTATGCACACAGTTCTCTGGCTTATTTTTTTCACTCAAATGACACACCCTGGGCCTGTCTGTCCACACAGCTTTCCCCTGCTCCTTGCAGTGGCTAGAGGTAACCCAGGCCATGTTAATGGGCATTTAGGTAGTTTCCAGGATTTTGTGTTAACTTCAGTGAACATCCATCTTGGGACATGCGTTTGGTGCCCTTTTCACAGAAATGTTTACTGTAAAAAACAGAAGCCTTGGGGCTGCAGATGTGGCTCAGTGGCAGTGTCCTGGCCCAGCATGGGTGAAGTCCTGGCTTCAATTGTCAGCCCCACAAAAAAAGCAGCAGCCACCTTTATTTTCTTTCCTAATATTGGAAAATAAAAATTCACTACAGAAAACCACCTAGACAGTATTCCAAAAGAATACACCAAGAAAAGAAAAACAGCCCGCCCGGTGGCACACGTCTGTAATCCCAGCAGCTGGGGAGGCTGAGGCAAGAGGACCACAAGTTCAAAGCCAGCCTCATCTAAAATGAGATGCCAAGCAACTCAGTGAGACCCTGTCTCTAAAAAGTACACAGAATAGGGCTGGGGATGTGGCTCAGTGGTCGAGTGCCCTTGAGTTCAATCCCGGGTACCAAAAACAAACAAAAAAGGCCCCGTGAGTCAATCCCCTCTGAACGGAGGCCCATTTCCTTCCAGGCTTTCGTCAATGCACATTTTCTCAGAGTTGGGAGGAGGGGTCTGATAATCATTTACTGAGGAACTACCAAGTGCCAGGCACTGTGCCAAGCACCATCGTGGACTGTTTTATAAATCCCAATCATGCCCTCATGGATGGGAAGCTTCAGGCCAAGAAGGAAAGGAGTCACAGACAGGGCGGCTGCCCAGCGTTCCACGTCACCAACCTCAAATAACCCGGGGGCAAGACGTGGAGGAAGACCACCTACCTCTGACAGTGCCTCAGAGGCAGTCTCAGGGCTCCGGAGGCTGTCCCCTGGCGTGGGGGTGCTGCCGTCTTCCCCCCTCTGGCCCACGCTCAGGGCCTGCTCCCACTTCTGCAGTGCCTCCTCGAAGAGCTCCATGCCTGGGCACAGGCAGGAGGACAGTCAGGCCCCGCCTCCCGAGCCTCGCTTAAGAAGGGCGCACACGGAGGGAGGCAGGGGGTGACAGGAAAAGGAGAACCTAGCATGCCTGGGGAGGTGGGTCTGACCACTCTTCAGAGTTGGTCAGATTCCAGGCCTTCACTTAGACCAAATTTGTTCCTGGACACTGTCCCCTGTCCAAAAAGGGCTGAAAATCACTGAATGGGGGGCTTGGGGCAGGGTTGGGGCAGCACCTGGAGCAGGGCCCAAGCCCCAGTGGCTCTGGGCAGCCCTCCTCCACCCCGCCCTGGCGGAGTCAGCCTCCTGCTTGCACCTTGTGCGTAGAGACGCTCAGCACTGCCGTCGGTGACGGGCACAGACTCCTCCATCCCTCGGATGTCCCACGGTCCCGAGCACGCAGCAGTGGGACTGGATGAGTTCACCACCACCATCTGGGTGCCAAGCACAAGGTCAAGGAGTGAGGACTCTGCAGACCCTTTCCAGGACCCCTCTGAGCCCACCCCCACAGCCTCCCAAAACCATCCTGCAAGCCTGGCCACTGTTCAACTTTCAGAATGGCCTGAATCCACAGCTCAAGCACCTGACGATGCCAGCCAGAGCCACCAACACAGGAGGAACCAGGCCAAGGCCCGCCTGGCACTCAGTGTCTGCCTGTGAAACATGCTCCCAGTCCTTGCTGTACCAGACAGACTCAGAAGGCAGGAGTGCCCACCACCTGCCAGTCTCTCATCCACAGGACTGGCTGCGCCCTCCTGCCAGAGGCTATGGGCTCCAGAGGACAAGAACCATCCCTTGCTCACCCCTGTGTCCCCAGGGTGGTGCTGGGCTCGAGCTTGCTGAGTGAATTATTAACTAGACGAGTGAAGGAGCCGAAGCACTGCTCCAGGAAAAAACAAGCTTCCCTTTGTCCTATTTATCTCTAGATCCTCAGCACCTAGCAGTGTCCCTGTCACCACGCAGGCGTTTGCTCAGTGTCTGAGAAAAGAATGAAGAAAGGTATTTTCAGAGATAAGTGCCTTCCCCAAGAGGCCGTCAGCCTCTCTCTTCTGCACCTGTCCACCTTTCTCCCATGTGGCTGCAGCCTGCAGCCATCTCTGAAGACCTATATGCATGGATGAACAAAGGCACGAATAAATTGAAACTTCTCCCGTCTTCCTGCTAGTCCAGAAGCTCCCTGAGGGCAGAGTGGGGGCTGTGCTGGGTGCCCTCCCTGGCCATCCCCACCCCAGCTCCTCACCGAGGCCAGGCTGTGGGAGGAGCCTGAGTGTTTGCTGGGCTCAATGGAGGAAATGCCACTGAGAGTGTCATTGCTCTTGCTACTGGGGCTCTGTCCCCTCCGGATGGAGTAACCTGTGAGGAACAGGAGGCAGGTCATGCAGAAACCCCCCAATTCCCTGGCACTCCTCATCTGGGAGCACGTCCTGACCTTCTGGGTCAGGTAACAGCAGAGCCAAGGAACACAGGGCTCCTGCTGTTCTGCTCAAGCCCTAACCTGTCATCCAGCACAGGACCATGCCCGGAGGAGCATCCCAGGCCTGCTGGGATGAGCTCAGGATGAGGTCCGGCCACTTCCCTGCCTCCGTACTCTGCTTCCCTGTGTTGTTGGTTATGTGAAAGATTTGGAATTTTCCTCCTTCCAAGAGGGAGTCAAGACAAAAACATTTTTAAAATATAGAAAAAATTTTTTTTTAAGTGAGAAAAGTAGGGGCTGGGGTGTAGCTCAGTGGCAGAGCACATGATTAGCATGCATGAGGCCCTGGGTAAAGAAGAGAAGGGGTCAAAGGTGAAGTGGGATGGTAGTGGTGGCACAGTGCAAGCAGACTAGAGGCTGGTGTGGACATGGGTCCAGACCTCCCAGGGGCCACTGCAAGGTGACAAGACTATCGTTAACTTCTTCTAACTATAAAGATAAAACTTTATTTTGCTGTGAAATTTTATATCTAAAATTCTTCTTCCAGCCAGATGTGGTGGTGCACGCCTGTAATCCCAGCAGCTCAGGAGGCTAAGGCAGGAGGATTGCAAGTCCAAAGCCAGCCTCAGCAACAGCAATTTAGCCAGGCCCTAAGCAACTTAGTGAGACCCTATCTCTAAATAAAATATAAAGAGGGCTGGAGATGTGGCTCAGTGGTTAAGCACCCCTGGGTTCAATCTCTGGTACAAAAAAAAACAAATAAAAAAAAAGTTCTCCCCAGAAGGAGGCTTTGGCTTCTTAAAATGAATCTCTCTCCAGGTGAAAGTTTATGAGAACACCTGGCGCTGGAACAGATTGATAGGATGCTCAGGTGTGGCAGACAGCTTCATTTAATAGATTACAAGGAGCCATGAGTTTTCTAAACCCATACCAGCTAGCCACAGATGGGCATCTGCCAGGAATAGGAGTAGGGGAGAGGGGCTGAGGACAAAGGGACTGGGGGGGATGAGGGGATGACAGAAAGGTTATTACTGTGGGCCGATTATATGACCATATGCATGTCAACGCTCAGAAGTGTTATGCGAAAAGGGTGACTATCGCCGCAGGCAAGTTGTGGCTCAGTTTTCTAAAACACGGGATGGGAGCTACAGCAAGAGCCAAAGGCCCTTCCTGTCCCTGAACCTCAGGGAACTGCCCCCAGCCGGCCACACCCACCAGCGCCCCTCTGTACCGGGTGCTCCCAAAGGGTCCCTGGAACCACCCACTGGTGGGACATGTGCATCAGGCACACCATCCACTAGACCCTCACGATGACTGCAAGTAGGTTCTACCCCTGTCTCTTGGATGGTGGGAATCTAGCTGTGAGACGGAAGGCACTAGCCCAAGACCCCACAGTTACTGGTGGCCCCTGGAATGTGACCAAGTCAGTGCTTCCCCACTGCAAGCTTACCTTTCTTCACTGATGGGACCTTCCGGGCCATAAGGATGGGCAGGGGCACTGTGCCCAGCTGTTCACCTCCAACTTCAGGGCCAACCTGCTTCTTCCTCCGCCGGCGCCTCTTCAGCTGGTGGGCAGCTAGGGCCAAGGCCACAGTCCCGAGGGCTGTGGCAAAGAGAACCTTGCGCAGGCCTGGGGTCAGCCGCAGCTGTGAGAATGCAGACTGTGGGAAAGAGAGGGTGGCTGGTTACATTGCCCCAGGGAACACTATCCCAAGAGCACTCAGGTGCTGGGCACCTAATGTCCCTGCACTGACCAGATAAGTGACAAAGGCAGTCACTACTGGAGAGAGGACCTGATCAGCCTCTCTGAAAGTGGACTACAGATATATAAAGATGAAAAAGGGCCAACACCAAGGAGCTGAGGCCTGGGGTCCAGCAGGCATCCCTGAAGTCATTAGTCAGGATGACCTAGGGCACAGGGATACAGCGCCTCTCACCAGGCACTGCACCAGCACTTGAGCTGTGTCACATCCCGGTGACACATTGTCCAGGTGAGGAATGGAGGTCACAGAGGTTAAGAAACATGCTCATAGTGACAGAGGCAGCATGGGAACTCCGGTCTGCCGGCCCTCGATTCTCAAAGACTCTGCGAAGATGATGATGCGTCTCACTCTCCCCTCGCCCTCTGCTCGCTGGACTGGGAGCCTGCTGGGTGGACCACATCCCATAGGATAGGGCTTCAAGAAGCATCCAGAGGACTGGGGCTGTGGTCAGTGGTAAAGCGCTTGCCTGGCATGTGTGAGGCCCTGGATTCGATCCTCAGCACCACATAAAATTAAAAAAAATAAAGTAAAAAAAATTCACTGGCAACTAAAACTTATTAAAAAAAAAAAAAAGAAGCGCCAGGAGTCCAGGTCAGCTGGGTGCAGTGGCCACACCTGTAATCCCAGCAGCTCAGGAGGCTGAGACAGGAGGATCACGAGTTCAAAGCCAGCCTCAGCAAAAGTGAGGCACTAAGCAATTGGGAGACTCTGTCTCTAAATAAAATACAAAATAGGGCTGGGATGTGGTTCAGTGGTCAAGGTCTCCTGAGTTCAATCCCTGGTACCAAAAAACAAAAGAGCCCAGGTCAGCCAGGAAAGTTGAGCTGCCAGGGAGGCAGCCCACCTGCTTCTGCAGACAAGCTCTGAGGTCAAGGACTCACATGGCCTTGAGGTGAAGACCAGGCTCAGGGCCCAGACCCCTAACCCAGTCCCTCTTACTCTGCTCAGAGATGACACCTGATGGTTGGGACATCAGTGACAAGGGCCCAGCTCTCCCAGACACTGAGGGTCCCTGGGCTGAGCAGTTCAGTGTTTGAGGGACCAGAAGCATAAGAGGCAGGGCCATCCCCATCCTTACCTGCCCAAAGGTTGTGTACAGGAATACAGGGATCTCCGCCACCGTCATGGCCAGAGCCTGGATCATGGACATGCCCTCAGTCCTCCGGAACGCCATGGCAGGACCGGCACCCCAGGCAAGAGAGCCCGTGGGGCCAAGAGTTTCCCAAGAGAACACCTTCAGCTGGTTGCCCACCGGGTCTGAGGCACCGTCCACTCGCCAACCAGACAGGGACACTCATACCAGAGAGTCCCTCCACAGATCTGAGAGACAGACAACCAGGTCAGCACATGGATATGCACACATGGACACAGAGATCCACACAAGGCTTCAGAGCACAGGGAGAGACAAAGCCTATGTCTGGAACACCAGCTGGAATCGGGCCCCAGACCCTGCACCTGGCAGCAGGTGGGCAGCCAGATCCTCACAGACCCTTGCCCACCTCGAGCCCTGGGAGCAGAAGGCAGCACCTCTGGCATGCTGGCCAAAAAGAGGACCCAGGCCTGGGAGATGGACAGGTCACCTTTTTAAGCCCCGAGCCACTTGCTAAACAAAATTCTCAGCCCAAGACTGAGAATAATCACATCTTTTTCACCTTCCATGAAGTTAAGCTCTGTGGACTGTACCAGAAAAGGACAGCAGGGTCCACTCCCCAGACAAGGACAATGGCTATTTTATGCTGAGCTCTTTATCTATGTTATTTCATCGATCTGTCACAATTCTTCTTTTTGGGGGGAGGTGAGAGAGAACAGGGTCTCACTAAGTTGTCCAGGCTGGCCTTGAACTCATAATCCTACTGCCTCATCCTCCTCCCGAGTTGCTGGGAAATATCACAGCAGATGCTACCTACTCACCCTTCTGCCTGTGCTGCCTCCACCTTCCAATGAGGAAACTGAGTCTCGGGAGGCTGTCAGGAGTCCAAAGTCACACTGGTGTGGGGAGTCAGGATTTGGATCAAGTTCTGTTGGACTCTAGACTGCTCAATGCAACCCTTTTGCTAAATTTGACAGGAAGCAGGAAGCTCAGGCCCAGAAGAACCACAGGGAACAAGAGCAGCTTTCTCTGGACCTTTTGAAACCCTCCCAGAGTATCCTACTGTTCCCTTCCAAAGCCAGGGAATAAGTACCTTGATCACACAGCCCAGATCCTAAGACCCTGCAGGGTGTTCCCCAACTGCCAGCATGAAGCCTAAGGATGCCTTCAAGGGACCTCAAGCAGAAGGAACACACAGGCCAGGACAGACCCTGTCTCCCTGGGATAGTGGCCAAAATCACTGGGCCAGCACAAGAGACGGCTTATCCCCAGTGAGTGGGAAGGACCTACAGTCCTATCAGTCCAGCTCTGAGGCTGGGAGGTGGGGTGCAAGGAATGATGGCACAGTGACGTTCTAGGACTAAGGAAACTGCCACGTTGTCAGGAGGCTTCGATTAGCTGTGACCTCCAGTGGTTGGTCCAGGTCATGCTGCAAGCCCCTCCTCCCATCCCCAAGCCTGGCTCAGGCCTGGAGTTGGGGTGATAAGAACATCAGAGGTTCAGCAGCTACTTTTCCCAAAGCACTTATTACAGGTTTGAGTCCAGCCACAGCAGAACCCTCATGATAACCACAGTTATCATGGGGAAAGTAAGGCTCTGAGAAGTGAGCAACTTCACTGAGGTCACTCAAATATCCCCAGTTGGCGGGGGTGGGGGTGGGGGTGGTGGTCTAAGGCTGCAGTGGTGCTTCCCAGCCACTGCTTTCCCCAACTCCACTGCTTGTCTGTGCCACACCTGAAGGACTTTCAAGCCCCTGAGCTTCTGAGAAGCCCACCTGGGGTTATAAGGATGAGCACGGATGCATGTGCCAGGAGCCAGACAGGTAGAGGGGGCACTGAGGCCTGGTATTTGTCTGCCTGAGAGTCTAGATAGCCTCTGCTGTCCCCCTTGAGAAGAAGGTAACAACTTCCCTTCCAAGCCCACCTCATTGCAGGGAAGGGTCCAAATCCAGTCCATTCATGACCTACCTATACATCCCCCTGGCACAAGCCAGGGCCAGAGGAAAAGAGGCCTCCACCTCCTAACTATAGTGAAAACCCTGTGGCAACACCCCCCCCCCCAACAAAGACACCTATCGCTGGGCAAGGCAGGGCTCCACCTGGGCAACCACCTCTTTCCTGCTCTACAATCTTGGGTCAGCACCTCCTCATTCCACTTCCAGACATTACAACACTCTCAGCCTGGATGCCCATGCCTTCCATCCTAGGTCCTCTTCCCCTGCTCTGGACAACCCCCAAAGGCCTCTGGCCTGGGTACCCTTTAATCCATCTTGACCCCAGAATGTCCCCAACCCAGGCCCTCCCTTGGGCCACCCTGTGCCCAGTCTTCTGTTCATCCCATCCCATATACCTCCGAACTCCCACCTGGCCCAGCATTGGGTAGACAAGCACTGAGACAGCAGTGCTCATTCCATTCCGGATATCTTGCACTGCCTAGGCCAGGCCCCTTCCTCTTTGACTCCTACTCCTAGAATATCCTTGAGGTTCGTCCAGGCACCCTCCAGCATCACCCACGGCCAGCACACCTGGTCCTTCCATCCCGAGTACTTTCTCAGTCTGGGTTCGGACACCTGCATTCATGTTCGGATACCAGCAACGTTCCAGGCCCGGGTGTCTCCTCTCTGACCCAGGTACCTTCTCGTTCTACCGCCAAGCAAGGCACCCTCTCGCGCTTCCCTCGGCCCGAGTACCTACTCATTCCATCCTGAGCACCTTACCGGTCCGCCTGGGCCGGGACACCTGCACCCGCCCAGTTCCCTGCGCAGGGCTGACCCCGCGCATCGCAAGCTTCTGTCTGGGACCCTGTCCCGCTGCCCGCCCGTAGGGTCGACTCAGCCAGGCCGCCACTCACCCGGGATCCCATCGCTGCGGAAGGGCAGCGTCTCCTTCCCCGGCAGCCGCGCAACCAAACCCGCGACCGCAGGGGGCGTGGTTCCGAGCCCAGCCGACCGGCTCTAGCCAATGAACGCCGCCAAACTACTCGGCACCGCCTTGGCCCTTGGCCAATCGGGTGGCGCACGTGATCACTCTGGGCCCGCCTCTCCTGCCCTCTGACCCTCCACCTAAGTGCGGTTGAGGTGCGGGAGTGCTCTCTTCTCTCCTACCATTGGCCACCAGGTTTAGATTGACACAGACGGCCGAGAGAGACCCGGAGCCTCTCAAGGAGAGGAGGCGGAGCAGTCAGGCCCCCGGGGGCTGTCTGTGCTCTCGAGTTTGGCTCCTCTATTCCAATCCAGCTGCTCCCTGATCAACAAATCCTTCCTGCTTCTTTTTTTCTTTTTTCTTTTTTTGTACTGTGGATTGAATCCAGGGGCCTTAACCACTGAGCCACACCCCCAAGCCTTTTTATTTTTTTTTATTTTGAGCCAGGGTCTCGCTAATTTGCTTAGGACCACACTAAGTTGCTGAGGTTGGCTTTGAACTTGTGATCCTCCTACGTCAGCCTCCTGAGTCTCTGGGATTACAGCCGTGCGCCATCCGCCATCCACCGGACCTCTCCTGTCCTTCAAACGTCTATTTTCAAATACCACCGCCTTCGACTTCCCTCTGCATCCTCTTAATCAGTTGCCACTCTCCACCTTGTTCTGGAGCTTCTGCAGAAGTGCCCCTCTTGCCAGCCAGACATTGTGTTCCCAAGGATTGAAGTCAAGTTGGAAATCAGTTCTGACCACCTAACCATGCCCTATGCTAAACTTTGGGACCTTGTTTTGTTTACTATTTCATTTCTGTTGCCTGGAAAGAACAGTACCTGGCACGTAACAGGTACTCAATGTGAGTTATTACTGATTTTCTTTTAAATTGATGTGTGTTAATAAATAAACATGTAACCAGCATTGGTACATGGCTTTAGATGATATAATATGGCTGGATACTGGTTAAATGCTATGGTTGGCCAAAGACCAATAACTGATAAACAAATCAGTGATCAATACAGACAAACAAGGCACATAGTGACAGATACATGGAGTTTAGGAATTACAGTTGTGATTTTAAAGTCCATAAAAGCTCTTTATACACAGTAAGTCACTAGTGGTTCTGAACTGGTCAGTGGCTCTAAAATTGAGTCACCTGGGAGCTTTTTAGAACTTCACCTGCCTGGGCCTCACCTGAACTAACAGGACTAGAGGAGGGACCAAGGCCTGAATTTTCAACAAATCCCCAGGTGATTCAAGGCTCACCCCTGCACAGACAGGCAGAGGTAGGTGATAGGGAACTGGGGAAGTACAGTAAGGACAGGGTACCAGCTCAGGAACATCTCTTTCTGGGTTAAAAGATGAAGCCTAGCCATGGTGCACAAGGGCAGGGATGTAGGAGCCACCCAGTGCCAGCTACTCAGGAGGCTAAGGCAGGAGGATGGAAAGTTCAAGACCAGCCTCACCCACTTAGCAAGACCCTGTCTCAAAAAATAAAAAGGGCTGGGGATGTAGTTCAGTAGTAAAGCACCCCTGGGTTCAATCCACCATACAGGGGGGATAAAGCCTAAACTGGGGAGCAAGCCTGTAATCCCAATGACTTGAGAGTCTGAGACAGGAGGATCACAGGATTGAGGCCAGCCCAGGCAATTTAGCAAGACCCTGCCTCAAAATACAAAATAAAAAAAGGGCTGGAGGTATAGCTCAGTGGTAGAGTGCCTGTCTGGCATGTTTGAGGCTCTAGTTTGATCTCCAGTACCAGAGGGGGTGGGAGAGAAGACGAGGAAGAAGTAAAAAAAAAAAAAAAAGTCTAGAGGTAGGGAACAAGGACAGGTACAGAAAGGTAACAAGCTCTTCCTAAACCCCAAGTTCCAAGAGAATGTGGGCAGGCAGCAAGGGTATCTTGAGGTCATGCTCCTATCAGTCTGGGATGTGAGGAACTGAGTTCAAGTTCAGCACATGTCCATACCCTAAGAATAGCCCATCCGCAGAGACAAATGTTGGCTGTCCAACCAAAGTATCTCATCTCCTCACACACTGGGTTTGGGCTCCAACCCCAGGGCACCTTTCTTTCCCATGATCCCTCTCTACATCCCACTACAATTTGGGGAAACCAGAGGGGACAAATAGCAGTAGAAGGTGAGTCCACAGCTGGCTTGTCTCGGCTCAGTTGTTCCATAGGGTGACCAAGATCAGGGCAGAAGAAGAGAGGGGAAGGTGAGAGCGGAGGAGGAGAGTCCCAGGGAAAGAGGTAGAAAATTGGGAGACCAAGGGCCTACTAGACAGGGGACAGTGTTGGAATAAAGGGAAAGGGAATTGAAAAGGCACAAACGGGAGAGGAAGGGACAAAGGAGGGGCCAGCCACAGAGGCCTGATCAATTTAGAGATCGATTGCTCAGCTGCAGAACGACTGTAGTTAATGAAAATGTGTTGTATATTTCAGAACTTCTGAAGAGGTAGATTTGTAATGTTCTCACCACAAAATAATGATAAATAGGTGAGGACATGTTAATTAGCTTGCTTTCATCATTCCACGATATGAACATACATCAAAACATCACTTTGTAACCCCTAAATATATACAATTCTTACTTGTCGATTAGAAATAGAATTTGTAAAAAGCAGCAGCAAGAAGGCAACTAGTATGTAATTATGCTGTGCACCTGCAATAAGCTAGCCGCACGTGTGCTTCCAGGCGTAATAATCCCAGGGGGAGCGGCCCGAGAGGCGGGGCCGGCTCCGGCCGGCAGGGGCAGCAGCGAGCCCGGCAGCTGCCCGCCAGGCCCCGCCCCGGCCGCGGCGCCCCGCCCTGCGCTCGGGCGGCTAGGCGGCGGCTCGGCGGCGGACTGTCCGGCGGAGGGCCGGCGCTGGCAGCAGGTGGGCGGGGTGCGGGCGGCGGCGGGGGCGGGCCGGGGGTTGCCCGCAACGCTGGGGCCCGCGCGGCGGCCGTGCGTGCGGGCGCGCCATGGACTTCAACATGAAGAAGCTGGCGTCGGACGCGGGCATCTTCTTCACCCGGGCGGTGCAGGTGAGGCCTGGCGCTGCGCCGGGCGCCCGGGGCCCGGATGTGAGGCGGGCGGCGAGCACCCAGCGGCAGGAGCCTGGGGACACGGGTCTACCCTGCCCCTGCTGCTGCCACCGTGCCCGCCGCGGCGACACCTCGCCCCGCTGAGGCCCTGCTCCTTCTGCCCTACCCAGAAGAGAGCAAGAGCCGGGGACCCGGCGCCCTGACCGCACGGTCTGCGTGGCCCAGGGCCGGGCGAGCAGGGCCTGAGCCCTGTTGCCTGGGAAGAGGTAGCAGCGTCCACCATTTGGACCTGCCAGGTTGTCCCGCTGCCCTGGCGCCTGCCACCTGAAGGGGGGAGCGGGCACTGGGGTGGCCCCTACATCCCTGTCCTTGTCCAGCATGATTCTGGACTCCACTGGGGCGTTTGGAGACATGGGTCCCAGGCCAAGGCCACAACCCCTTCTCTGAGCCTCAGTCTCCACACCTGTGCAATGGACAGGTGGTCCGGTGGTTTCCTATGGTCCGTTTTCCACGCTTGGATAGTCAGGCCGGAAGCCAGGAGTTATTTTCTTTCTGCTCCAAGGGAGGCCTGTTTCCTCCATTCCCCAGGCCTGGGGGATGGGGAGAGGGCCAGAGTCTGGCTCATTGCCCTCCTTGGGAGGCTGCCCAGGTCCATGTTGGGGAGGCTGGAGCGCATTCTGTCCATTTGGGGTGAGAAAGAGAAACTGAGGCAGCTCCATGTCCTGGTGAAGACCTGAAGTCAGCTATGGGTGTGAATGCCCCTTGTGTGACCTTGGGGGAAGGGGCTTCATCTTGCTGGGCCTTCTTGAGGTGAGAAACAGGATGAGCCTCCGCTGTGCCCAGGCTGGATAGGAGGGATGCTGTAGTAGTGCTCACTAAAGGCAAGCTCCTGGTTGGGGTTAGGGTGGTTTAAATTGCACCAGTGCAGCATGTGACCTTGGGCAAGTCCCTGTCTGAGCCTCAGTTGGCACCACTGTAAATCAAGTGTGAGGCCTCCAAGGGTGGGTGTGGGACTCCATGAGATCCTGCACACCCAGGGCCGGCCCATCTCAGTATTCTGGAACAGGTTCTGTTGTGCTGTCCTTGTCATTGTTGGCTCTGCTGCGCAGTTGCAGTTCTCTGTCCCTAGAGAAGCCTAGCCCCAGCCACTCTCTCAGAAGCCCGTGTGGCCATGTTTACTAGAAAGCACTGTGTCCCTTTGAGGAGGAGTGCCCTGGTAAGGGTGAGGATTGTGCCTCTATTTTCCAAGCTGGGAGATGCTGGGACCCAGAGCCTCAGTCCAGCTGGGAGGTGGCAACCTTTCTTTGTGTTGTTATGGCAACCACTCTATCTCCCACATCTGGGAAGAACCTGATCTGCCACTTTCCTGCTACTGGTGCGGCCCTGCCACCTGACCTGGCAAGGCCCTCAGAGGGAGCACTGGGTGTGGGGGGTTGGGCACGGTGGCCTGATGGGGGCAGCCCACAGGGTCACTCACGCTGGAAGGGGAGCCAGTGCCCAGAGCAGGGTGGAGGAGGGAGCTGGGAGTTTATAAATAGAGGCTTTCTCTGCTCTGCACGCCCACCCCCAGCTGTTGCCATCTAGCTGGGAGCAGTCTCGGACTCAAGCACCAAACCCTTTCCCTTTGGCAGGAATAGGACAAAGTGGCAGGCCAAAGGAGAGGGGGCCTGAAAAGTGACTGGGCAGGAGAGGCCACTGGGATGGCTGGGTCCAGGCTGCCCTGGGATGGAGGGGCTTCTTCTTACCAATATGTGGGCAGCTCTCTGGTCAGTGCCACCTTGTGCCAGGTTGTGCTGGGCGGGTGCCCCACCCCTGTGTACCCAGAAGGACTTTAAAAGCTTCATCTCACCCCGACCCCACAGGGCACAAGAGGGCATTGGCCCTGGGGTGAGACCCAGAGGACAGGATGCCTTTTGCAGAAAGATACTAGGGTGGTTTCTAGGATGGAGGGCCCCAGAGTTGGTCGGAAAGTGAGGCAGGGTGTGTGCGGTGGGCTCAGGGAGAGCACTTCAGGGGGCAGAGCAGCCCAGATCAGGGCCCTGAGGCAGGACAGCTGAGGGCATTTTTTGTTAAGGTTGGGAGTGGGCACAAATGCTGCCAAGCCCACTGATGTCATGGCATCAACAGCCCTGGAAGTGGGAGAAGTACTGACAAAAAAAAACAGAGGGGTGGTGGCATTGCCACTGTCCGAGCCAGGCAGGCAGTGGTGGGCAAGGGATGAACACCCGAAGGGTTGGGAAAACCTGGTAGATCCTCAGACTTGGGTGGGTACAGGTGTGAGGGCCAGGTGGCTGAGCGCGGTGGCTCCTTAACCTTAACCCCAGTAAGAAAAGTGGGCTCCAAAGTGCACTGTAGGGTGACATCATTAGTGCCATCAGGGAAGCTCCTGAAACCCAAAGGGACCTGAGGGAGGCCTCCCTATTATGGGTGGTGATGATGATACTAGGCTCACATTTATCAGTCCCATACTGTGCTCCAGCCAGACACTCTGTGATATAGGTTATCTGCATTCTTGGGGGGAAAACTGAGACCCAGCAGGGCACAGTGGTACACGCTTATAATCCTAGCAGTTAGGGAGGCTGAGATAGGAGGATCCAAGTTCAAAACTAGCCTCAGCAACGGCGAGGCACTAAGCAACTCAGTGAGACCCTGTCTCTAAATAAAATCCAAAATAGGCCTGGGGATGTGCCTCAGTAGTCAAGTGCCCCTGAGTTCAATCCCCAGTACCAAAACAGCAACAAAAACCCCCTGAAGCCCAGAAAGGTGACTTTGCCTCTGTCAGTCTTGGTTTCCTCATCTGGAAAATGGGACTGGCAACAGCCCCCTCAAAGAGCTGGGTGGGGTAAAGCCTGCTCAGTGATAGGGCAATTGGGGCATGGCCCAGGGTAAGGTGCGGGCCTGAGACACTGCCTCCTCACTCCGGGGATTGTGAGGAAGTGGGGAGGAGGAGGTGGCTGTGACCCTGCCCACCCTGCACTGCAGGGAGAAACCCAAGTCCTGCTACATAATTGATGGCTTCTGTGCAGCCTGAGCTGGCAGCTGCTCAGTTCCCCACAGCTGGAGCCGTCTGCAGTGTCTGGGTGATTCATCACTGCCAGGTGGCTCAGAAGGGCCCCCAGCCCCCCAGATCATGCCAACCCAGACTCCAACACAGTCCTGCCTGCGTTCATCCTCAGTGGCCACATCTGTGAGATGGGAAGCTTGGCCCTGCCTTTTTTTTTTTTTTTTTGTGGTGCTGGGGATTGAACCCAGGGCCTTGGCCCTGCCTTGTATGGACATAGTGAGCCCTGGGAGCCCCTGGCCAGGCTGGTCTGTGGCACCTGCTGCTGTCCTTAACTTCTGCCTCACCTCCGGCTGTTTGGCCGTGACCATGGGCAAGCCCCATCTCCTAGCTGGAGAAGGCCTGGGTATCTGTTTGGAAAGTGGGTACATTTGTCTCAGGGCCCTTTGATCAGAGGGGTCAGGACTAGGGCCACTTGCCCATTGTTCCTAGTGGCCTGCATAACTCCTGCCAGCTCTGATGGGGACCTATGTGACCTCCTGGGGCCCTGGGTGTGCCCAGTTGCTGGCACCGATGAGCTGGCGGTATTTTCTGTCCACCACACCCTGCAGCCGGAGGCCAAGCACTTGGCCATCTCTCCTCCCGCACTCCTTCCTGCTCAGCCCACCGCCCCTCTGCTCTGGCAGCACCTCTCAGGGAACAGCAGCTCCGGGCACAGCCCTCGCGGCTCACCCCGGCTCCTGGCTCGCCTCAGCCTCTGAGCAAGAGGCTCTTAGTGTCTTGTTTGCAGCTGGAGGTGCTGATGGCTGGAGAGGCAGAGCACTTTCCCTAGCTCACACACCTTGACAGGGCAGAAGTGAGGCCTGAGTCAGGCCCTTTCAGTTCTAGAAGCCTGGCAGCCCCTTCCCAGCAGTTCCCAGGTGCCATGGAGCCCCTGACCACCCTGGGCCTCTGTGCCTGGTTGCTGCCTGAGCACTTGCTACCAAGTCCTGAGCCTCAGTGTCAGGCCTAAAAGACCCAAGAGGTGGCCCCCCGAGGCCCCTGCCTGGCTGGGCGCTATGCCCGTGCAGGCACGTGCATGTGGGGAGAGGCTGTGGCCTTCCTTGAATTCCCAGGAGGACTGTGATCCCAGCACCCTGGTTCTACAGAGGGACACATTGAGGCCCAGAGTGGGGTTGGAACTTGGCAATGCTGTGAAGGTCCTTGACCCTGGAGGATTGGGGCCTTCCTCCTCCTCTTCCTGATCCCTCTCCACCCCCCAGTTCACGGAGGAGAAGTTTGGACAGGCCGAGAAGACCGAGCTTGATGCCCACTTTGAAAACCTTCTGGCGCGGGCAGACAGCACCAAGAACTGGACGGAGAGGATCCTGAGGCAGACAGAGGTGCTACTGCAGCCCAACCCTAGTGAGTGGGCGCCGGGGGAGGGGAGGGCAGCGGGGGGCATAGGCTGTGGGGGCGCTTGGTGAAAACGAGGCAGGAGGCTTGGCATTGGGCTGCAGGACATTCCCTGGGGCAGTGGAACTGTCAGGTGTGGCACAGAGGAGGTGAAATGCCTGGCAACTAAAGCCCCTGTGGGAGAAGGTGCAGGCAGAACCCGAGCTTGTGAGCTGGACCCAGAGATGGGAAGGGCTGCCCAGCCACACCACAGGCCAGGAACGGCTGGGGCTGAGTGCAGGGGAACCTGGGGAGAGAAGTGGCTTTTGGGTGACGTGCGTATGCACCTGTTGTCTGCTGTGTAACCAGCTGCAGTGTCTGAGAGCTGCTGGGGGCCAGACCATGTTAATAGATCCTGTGTTCATGAGGGGATGTGCACAGGCTTTGGCTTGCACCCCCCGCCCCCCCCGCCCCAGCTGTGTGACCTCAGGCAGGCATGCTGTGTTTCTGAGCCTTGGCTGCTTCCTCTGTGGAGTTAGGGGTTGATGGAAGCAGTTGTGCAGTCAGAGGTGGGCACCCAGGCTGGGCACTCCTGTGGGCAGGGCCTGGCCTGGGCCTGTCTGTCCCTGTGGCTTTCTTCTTTGGGCTTGGACCGGTGAGCCCTGTGGCTTTGGCTGCTGCTTCCCCACAGGTGCCCGAGTGGAGGAGTTCCTATATGAGAAGCTGGACAGAAAGGTCCCCTCACGAGTCACCAACGGGGAGCTGCTGGCTCAGTACATGGCGGAGGCGGCCAGCGAACTGGGGCCCACCACTCCCTATGGTGAGCAGCCCCACCAGGGCCGGGCTCCTGGGCTTCCCCATCTCACCTTCCCTCTTTCCGTCCCTCCCTCCCTCCCTTCCTTCCTTTTTAAAAAATTATGCATTCCACGTGTAAGAACCGCCATCCCTGCAAAGACGATAGAGTAGAAAGTGAGACCCTCCCTCAGCCTCCTTTGGTTTGTGTGAATTTATTTTTTTATTGTTTTGGCACTGGGGACTGAGCCCAGGGCCACTCTGCCACTGAGCTAATTCCCTAGCCCCTGGCCCCATTTAAAAAAAAATTGAGTCAGGGTTTTACTAAGTTGTCCAGACTGATCTCCAACTTGTGATCCTCCTGCCTCAGCTTCCCAAATGGCTGGAATTATAGGAGTGTGCCCTGCATCCAGCTTCATTTTAATTTTTTTGTTGTTGTTGTTGTTGTATCTTCTTCTTCTTCTTTTTTTTTTTTTTTTTAAGAGATAGTATCCTTTAAAAAAAAAAAAAAAAAACTTTATTTTTATGTGGTGCCGAGGATCAAACCCAGTGCCTCACACATGCGAGGCAAGCGCTCTACCTCTGAGCCATTGTCCTGGCCCTGTTGTTGTATGGTTAACATTTTTAAAAAGCTCCATTCCTTAATTCTGTGTATTACAATATGTGTTTTAATTTATCACAGTCTTCTTCAGAATAATCCTCTAATCCCAGCAGAATAAGAAAACTTTGCTACAGTATAACTTCGTCCTCCCTTCCTTCCTGCTATGATTGTCAGAGGTGTTGGTGTCTATATTACAAGCCCAACGGTAGTTCATAGCTATATTTTTATGCAGTTATCCTAAAATTAGCTGGGCACTGTGGTGCATGCCTGTAATCCCAGCGGCTTCAGAGGCTGAGGCAGGAGGATCTCAAGTTCAAAGCCAGCCTCAGCAACTAAGCAAGGCCCTAAGCAACTCAGTGAAACCCTGACCCTAAATAAAATACAAAATAGGGCTCAGTGGGCAAGTGCCCTGAGTTCAATCCCTGGTACCAGAAAAAAAAAAACAAAAAAACATCAGTTAAGGGAGGAAAGAGAACTGTCTGCCTGGATGCTGTTTTTTATCTTAGGATTGCCTTTCCTGTGCTCCTTTTTTTTTTTTTTTTTAAGTTGTAGATGGACACAATATCTTTATTTTGTTTTTGTTTTTACGTGGTGCTGGAGATCAGACCCAGTGTCTCCCTAATGCTAGGCGAGTGCTCCACCACTGAGCCCCAGCCCCAGCCCCAGCCCATTTTATGTTTTATTTTGGGACAGGGTCTCACTAAATCATTGAGGCTGGCTTCTAATTTGCAGTCCTCCTGTATCAGCCTCTGGAATTGCTGGGATCACAGGTGTGCTCCGCTGTGCCCGCTCTTTATAGATATTCTTTATTTGCTGAGTCATTGTCATCATGATTTCCTTGAATTCTTTCAACATGATTCTTTCTTGAAAAGAATCTAAAGTGCCTGCTAAGGCTAGCGTCTGCTTCCCTAGAGAATGTCTTATTCTTTTTTCTCCCTGCGTCTTTATAAGTCTCATAGTTTTTTTTATTATTATTATTTTTATTGTTGTTGTTGTTTTAAACGTTTTAGACAATAGCTCTGGATTCTGGTACCCCTGGGGGTTGTTGCTGTGTGTTTGTTTAAAGACTTGTTTGAGGTACTTGTTTAAAGAATCTATGAAGTGTGTAGCTACTAATGTTTCTGCATCCCAGAAACATTTTTAAAATAGTAGTTCATAACTACTGAAATTTTTTTTTTTTTTTTGTACCAGGGATTGAACCCAGAGGCACTTAACCACTGAGCCACATCCTCAGCCCTTTTTTGGTATCAGAGACAGGGTCTTGCTGAGTTGCTTAGGGTTTTCTTAGTTGCTGAAGCTGGCTTTGAACTCACAATCCTTCTGCCTCAGCCTCTGGACAGGCGTGCGCCACCGCACCTGGTTATTCTTTATACTTTTGAGCTTGGCCTTGAGGATTGCTCCTGGATCAGCATGTAATAGTGATCAGGCAGTGATTGCTCAGAGGTTGAGCCATGAAGACAGGCAGTAAGTGTGAGTGGGATGGGGCATGTTCTGAGGTCAACAGTGAACAGTCTGCCCCATTTTTATTCTGGGAATGTGCAAGGCCGCTGTTCTCCAGGGTGAGCGAGTGCATAGCTGGAGTTCTCCGTCTCTCCTGAGCATGCTGCAGGTGTGCTCAGCCTGTCAAGACTCACTTTGTGTCCTGGGTCTCCTGTTAAATCTCTGGCAGGTGTGGGGCTTGTTCCCACCCACATCACAGTGCCAGGGGACCCGCTGCAGGTCTTTCCTCAGCACGGTTGTGATCAGTGTGGTTGTGATTGCTGCAGATTCCAGCAGCGTCCCAAGGGCCCTCTGGGCTTCCAGCCCAACCAAGTCAGCCGCTCCTACAGCAGAGCTGGGGCTTGTGGCTCGCTCCCACCCTGGCAGAGCCACACGCATTCTCACTGGGTGCACTAGTTTTGAATCGATGCTCTTTAGTTGGTTTGTTGATGCCAAGGATTGAACTCAGGGGCATTCGCCCACTGAGCCACACCCCCAGCCCTGTTGTGTATTTTATTTAGAGACAGGGTCTCACTGAGTTACTTAGCGCCTTGCTTTTGCTGAGGCTGGCCTCACACTTTTGATCTTCCTGTCTCGGCCTCTGGAGCTGCTGGGATTCAGGCGTGCACCACTGCGCCTGGCTTTTCAGTTTGTTTTTGTCTTTGATCAGTTTCCGGAGCCTGGAAATGGATTTTTTTTTTTCCTTGGTACCAGGGATTGGGATTGAACCCAGGGGCGCTTAACCACTGAGCCACATCCCCAGCCCTTTTCCATATTTTATTTAGAGACAGAGTCTTGCTAAGTTGCTTAGGGCCTCAATAAGTTGCTGAGGCTGGCTTTGAACTCTCCATCCTCATACCTCAGCCTCTCGAGCCACTGGGATTGCAGATGTGTGCCACCGTGCCTGGTGTTGGAGGTGGATGATTTTTACAGTTGTTTCCAATTAATGTCACCTTTTGGGGGAGAGTGTGACTGGTCTAGCTCCTCTCTCTGGTTCTGGAAGTCGTCTTCCCAAGCTTTTTTTTTTTGTATTGGGGATTGAACCAGGGGCACTCTACTAGTGAACCACATAAAAAGGGCCACATTCCTGGCCTTTTAAAAATTTTATTTGAAACAAGAGTCTCACTAAGTTGCTGAGGCTGGCCTTGAACTGCTCTCCGAGTCACTGGGCTCAAAGGTATGTGCCACCATGGTCAGCCCCCCAATCTCTTTAATGGCTCTGGTATTTGTTTTTGGGATGTCCCAATGTTTGTCCTCCCCCCCCCCCCCCCCCCCCCCTTGATGGCTCTGTAGGTCTCTGCCAGGCAGACTGCTCTGCTCTGGGTCCTCAGGTCTCTCCTTGAGCTCCCCCTGCACCTGGGGGCAGAGTAGCCTGGGCCCGGCCTGATCCCCACCCGCCACTGCTTTCCCCAGGGAAGACGCTCCTCATGGTGTCTGAAGCGGAGAAGCGCCTGGGGGCTGCGGAGAGGGATTTCATTCACACGGCCTCCATCAGCTTCCTCACACCCCTGCGCAACTTCCTGGAAGGGGACTGGAAGACAATTTCGGTGAGGGGCCTGGGACCACTGTCCTTCCTGGCAGCCCACAGCCCCTGCTCAGAACTCTGCACGGGCTCCTGGCCGTGCGGAGGGCCAGGACCCCGTGGTCTCCAGGGTTGACTCCTGTAGGCTGAGGGAGCTGCCATCTTGGGCCCCAGTTTCCTTGTCTCCCTCGCAGCTCACGGACCAGTCTTGCCGTGGCCGAGTGTCTCCCAGGGCTGGCCGGGGCCTCACTGTTCCCTGTTCCCACCCTGCAGAAGGAGCGGCGCCTCCTCCAGAACCGGCGCCTGGACCTGGATGCCTGCAAGGCGCGTCTGAAGAAGGCCAAGGCGGCAGAAGCCAAGGCCTCGGTAGGTGCCCACCTCCCGCCAGCCTGGTTGGAGCCGCGGAGGGGCATGGGGGAACTTGGTGTCAGCATGAGCCTTCTCCCTGTCCTGGCTGGGGCTGGACTCCGCGGCTGTTCAAGTCAAGTCCTTCTCCCGCCCCAGGGGAGCCCTGATGGTCCTAGGGCAGATGATTATGGGTTGAGTGGACCAGCAGTGCCCCACCTGGGCACAGGCTGTACCTCACGGCCTCCCCAGACAGCCAGCTGGAGTTTCTCGCATGCCCTGCCCGCCGGATGCTCGGCTCTGTGTCCCTGGCTCTGTGTCCCTGGCTCCGCCTGGGCATGGCTCCCCTACTAACTCTCTACCTGCTGCTTGAGTGCTGGTCCAGGGTTCCCTGTGCCTGGCTCCCCACAGTGCTGTGGAGCACACCAAAATTGGACAGCCCACCTGCTCAGGGGCTGTCTGAGGGACAGGGCCTGTCTAAGGGACAGGGCCTGGGCCTCCCTGCTGGCTACCAATGGGATCTGGCATGGAGACCTGGGCTGACTGGGCTAGGCAAGGAGTGGGAACTGGGCCTGAGAACAGGTACGCTCTTGGCCTGCCAGGCACCTGGGGGTGCAGGGGACCTAATGGCTACCTCGAGCCCTGAGGAAGGTACTCCTGGGCCCAGGGCTAGGGACACTGCCACTCATGGGTCCCCAGGCTCTCAGCCAAGGAAGGCCAGGCCTAACACGGGTGAGAGTCCAGGTGGGCTCACAGCTGCCTGAGCCAAACCTTACTTGTGTTCCCCTCCTACAGTGTGGCCGTGGCGCCCTGGGCGCAGGCAGGTCTGCAGCACCTCTGGTGACAGCCAAGGGAGGTCTTAGCTCAGCTGGGTGCAGAGTCCAGAGTGGAGGCAGGGGGCTCCGTGACTCTGGTCTTGAAGAGTGACCTGTGGCTTTTGGGATGACCTCTTCTAAATCACCTGAGCCGGACAGCCTCTCTCTGTCACTCTGGGCTGGACAACCTCATGCCAGAACGAACTCTTCCTCCACTGGCCAAGCCAGAGGAGCCTGTCCTTAGGGCAGTGGTGTGACTTCTCCCCTCAGTGGGCCCCAGTTAGGCCAGAAAGGAGCAGCATCTCAGAGGCCTCAAGTCCCTGGAAAACACACACACACACACACACACACACAACTTCTGCGTGCACCCTTCTGCCTGTCCACCTGGTGTCCCCCCTGGGGCCGGGGCCTGCTCCCACCTGCTCTGTGGACTCACTAACTCTTTGTTTTTGTTCCTTTCTGTTCTGCTTTGGGTAACTTGGCTCAGTGTGAGGGAGATGTGAGTATACCTGTCCCCATGCCGTGCTGCTTCTGGCCCGCCTGTCTTGCCCTCGGGCCCCAGTGCTGTAGCCAGCCCAGGGCATATCCTTGGGCGTTTTGCAATCAGCTGGTCTCCCCGCCAATGCCTCTGCAGGATGCGGAGTCTCTGGTTGGGGGGTGCAGGTGTTGCAGCCTGCAAGGCAGCTTTTTGCAAATGTTGAAAGCCTGTCACTCTGTCCATCTCTGCATCCATATGTTCACCCTCATTGTGGGGGAGGGTCCTGGCCCCCAATACAGGAGCCAGAGGCGTGGTGTGCAAACACTCTGGGAGGGGGAAGCTATGGCAGGGGTGGGCTGTGTGTAGGGGACTGTGGGTCTGACTGGGCCTCTGAGTGCCACTGCAGTCCAGGGAGGAGGGGCGAGGCCCAGACTGGTTTGCAAGGACTGTGACGGCATGACGGTATCTGCAGACTGTCTCCTTGCCCGCCCCATCTCTGCTGGGCTCCCCAGCACACTCACCGGCCAGGTTCTTATCTGGACTCACCCAGCTATAAACCCACCTCATCTCCAGTGGGTTGGAGTGGGTACAAGGGAATATGTGGGGCTTTTGTCTGTATCCTCCTGTCCCCAGGGCCAGGGCCTCTGGCATCTCCTTGTGGGAGACTCTGGGGCAGCCTCCTGGCCTCGACCCAGCCCTGACCCAGGGTGACCCTTCCCCCCCATGAACTCTGTTCCCCGCCAGACGGTGCCTGACTTTCAGGAGACTAGACCTCGTAATTACATTCTCTCGGCCAGCGCCTCTGCGGTAAGCGCCCCCCACCCCTCGGCCTCCTCTCCCCCCACAGCCCTGCCACTGGCCCTGACTGCACAGGAACCAGGAGCCAGCAGGTGAGACAGGGTGCTGCTCACATGGTCAGGCCATCCTGGCAGACTGGGGGAGACAAAGGTCAAAGCAACAGGGAAGAAGCAGTCCCTGCCTCTGCCCATGGCTGGCCCCAGTGACCAGTGACCATGTCACTAGATTTGCTTCTCCCTGCAAAATGCTGAAGATAGCAGCTTTGTCAGCTGCACTGGGCCACCCGGTGAGCTGAGGACACCCTCATCCCATCTCTAGGAGGTCTGAGTGTCTGCCTGCCCCCACCTCCCTTGAAGAGGCGCCCCTGCCCCCCAGTTGCCTTCACATTTCTGAATGTGATGGGGGCCCAGGCCTGTCTTACCCAGCTCCACACGCTCTCAGGCAGTGGCACTAGGTTTGTGTGGCACACCTGCTAAGTGACCTGAGGCACAAGGAGGTCCCTGGAGAGAGTCAGGGGGACCAGAGGCTTGAACTTTGTCTTGGGGTCTCGTGCAGCTCTGAGCAAGGTGGTGGTTGCCAGTCCAGCAGGAGCGAGGTCCACTCCCCTCGTGCCCGTCACAACCGCCCTGCACACCTGCCGCCCTCCTCCAGCTCCCCTGGTTAGGACCCTCCCACACCAGCCGCTGGCCCCCACACTTGTCCTGAGCATGCTGCTGTGTGTTCATGCGGTCATTCTGTGGCTGGGAACTGTCCATTGGGCCGCCCTGGTAGTTTACTTAGATTGACCCCATGCTGGGCCTTCCAGTGTGGCCGTGAGGATGCTCCTCCCTGGTGTGGCCATCTGGTGGCCAGCCTGGTTCGCTCTCTGCCTATCGGTGTTTTTGTCCTGGGTCAGATTTCCACAAGTGGGGGAGAAGTGGGATCTCCTAAATCACGGTGGGGGGAGGGGGGTCTTTCTTCTCTAGACTCTGGATGACACTTCCTGTCCCCCGCCCTGGGCCGAGTGGAAGGAGAAACATCCTGGAGGGTGGCGGCCGCCCTGTTTTTTTCTTTTGCCACTGACCCCCAGTGTGACTCAGGCCCGAGGCTGCCTTTCTCTGCCGGAGGACAGAAAGGTTCTGTGACTGGCCCGGGTCACATGTCCTGCCTCCCAGCCCTCCAGCCTTAGCCAGGAGTCAGGGTGGGGTGGGGACACTTGGTCTCTCTGGAGACCCCTGTCAGAGTTGGGGGGCTGACACTGTAGGAGAGACACAAGCAGGACGTCCTGGCTGGCTGTCCCCTCCCTGCATGTGGCATGTTAGATGGGCCGATTGTCTGCTCCCTGCCATCCAGCAGGCCTCCCCCAGCCTCAGCTCCTGGTTGAGTGGGTGGGGGAGGCAGAGGGACTGGGTGGCAGGGCTGGTTGCTGGGAGCTGGGGCTGGGCATGGGCTCTGGGTTTGAGCTGTCCCCCTCCTTGGCTGACTGGTGCTGTTGTGGTCTCTGCAGCTTTGGAATGATGAGGTGGACAAGGTGAGTTGGGGTCTGGAGGCTTGTGGGAGGAGGACCAGAGAAGGTGGAGATGGGGGTCTGTGTTTCAGTTTCTGGGCTCTGCCCCACATCCACTGAGGCCACTGGCAGGGGCTGTTTCTTGGCCTCTCTGGGTCCATTTCCCCGTGGGAGACATTCGCTGTGTGGTGCCTAGGGCCTCGCAGCACGAGTAGGCCCTGGAGAGATGTCTGCTGGGTGGATTTTCCCCAGGGAGCTAGGGGAAGGCCTGCCCTGCCGCCACCAAGTGGGCTTCAACTTCTCCAGGGATCAGGGTTCAGTTGAGAAGTCGGGTGGACACATATGTCTGCGTCCCCAAGGAGTCCAGTGGGTCTGGGAGAGCCAGGGGAAGGCTGGTGGGAGGGATGGTGGCCGATGCTGGTGCTCATGCTGTCACACTCGGCCCCCACTGCCCAGGCTGAACAGGAGCTCCGAGTGGCCCAGACAGAGTTTGACCGGCAGGCAGAAGTGACCCGTCTCCTGCTGGAGGGGATCAGCAGCACCCACGTGAGTTTGCCCCGGTGCCCTGCTGACCGCATCCACCAGTGGCAGCACCTAGACCTTCCTGAGAAGGGTAACACTGGGACGGTCACAGTGGTGGCTTTGTGCAACAGGCCAGTCCACAGGCTGGGCCTCTCCAGCCTCCCCTGGCAGCACAGGTGGTGGGGGCACGGTCTGTGAGGACAGGGTGGGGATGACCCCGCCCACCACGGGCCTCTCCCCCCAGGTGAACCACCTCCGCTGCCTGCACGAGTTCATAAAGTCTCAGACAACCTACTACGCGCAGTGCTACCGCCACATGCTGGACTTGCAGAAGCAGCTGGGCAGGTGCGGCTGGGCCCTGAGTCCCAGGGTCCCCTAGCTCCTGGGCCCATCATGGCCCAACTCCTCCAGCTGAAAGACTCCTCCCGTGAGCTCAGAGGGCCTGCAGCTTGGAGCCAGATGGGAGGGCTCAGCCCAGAATCCTGCCTAGTCACCTCCTGTGTGGTGGCAAGCTTCAGGTGGCTGTCCTTGGGGACTGCTGAGTCCCCTGGGGTAAAGAGCAGTTTAGAGAAGGCTTGAAGGGAAAGGGGCTTTAGCAGGGACAAGGGAACAGGGCCATCTCACTCTTCTGCTTGCTTTGCTTTTCTCTTTGTGCTGCCAGCGCCCAGGGTGCCATGTAAGTAGCTGGGGCCAGGAACTGGGAGGGGCCCTGGGTTACCTTGTGGGGCTCCTACAGGGCCCAGATCCTGCTGAGATGCCCCCTCCGCTCCAGATTTCCAGGTACCTTTGTGGGCACCACAGAGCCTGCCTCCCCGCCCCTGAGCAGCACGTCACCCACCACCGCTGCGGCCACCATGCCTGTGGTGCCCACTGTGGCCAGCCTGGCCCCTCCGGGAGAGGCAGCACTCTGCCTGGAAGAGGTGGCCCCCTCCGCCAGTGGGACCCGCAAGGCCCGGGTGCTCTATGACTATGAAGCAGCCGACAGCAGTGAACTGGCCCTGCTGGCTGACGAGGTGGGCCTGGTTCTGTAAAGGGGGCAGGTGAGGGCTGTAGTAGGAGCCACTGGAGAACCAAGGCTGGGAGCTGTCTGTGCCACCGTCCCGAGAGTCTCTCGGGGCCCCTGGGGGAAGTGGGGCCTGAGGGGGCAGGTAAGGGGAGGTGGCTTCAGCTCTCCAGGAAACAGCCCTTCTCTGCCATGCCCCCATAGCCAGTAAGATGAACACCCACCACTGGAGGTGTAGGTGCCCTGGGAGATGACAGCTTTGTCTCCACCTAGCCCTGGGGCCAGTTCTGCCCTTGGCCAGGGCATAAGCTTCCCTGTCTGCTTTCTGCAGCTCATCACCGTCTACAGCCTGCCTGGCATGGACCCTGACTGGCTCATTGGTGAGAGAGGAAACAAGAAGGGCAAGGTCCCTGTCACCTACTTGGAACTTCTCAGTTAAGCAGGCCCTGCCCAGGGCACAGCCCTACCACTTATCTTGTCTGCTGGTGACACAGCTGCTCAGGGTGGAGATATGAAGCCCATTCTGCCTATTCCCCTGGTCATCCAGCTGTGAAGGGAGCCCAGAGGCTGAATGGCCCCAGGCTCCCTGCCAGCCCTGCTTCTGATCTGTGGTTCTGGAGCCCCGGCCCTGCCTGCACTCCCCATGCACCTCAGCCCTCCCAGCTCCCAAAGGAGGGAGGGACACTGTACTCAGCACGGAGGCAGGCCTAAGATGCACCCCTAGGATGCACGGGGGCACCTGTGGCAAGAAGAAAGCACCTGCCAAAGGCCAACAGCGGGACAGCAGTGAAGCAGGCAGGGCTCTGGCAGGGGACAGGGTCAGGCCCAGAGCAGCAGCTGCCCGGTGCTACCCTGTCCCTCCTGCCCAAGCAGCGCGAACCCAGTACGTGGCTGCAACTCACTTCTGCACACACTTTTTAACTGGTATTTTTACTTCTGCCTGTCTGCTTGCTTTCTAGCCAACAGCAAATAATAAATCCTTTGTGTGCAAGTTGCTGAGACTCCTGTTGGTCCACTGCATGGGCAGGGCTGGCCCTGAGGGTGGGGACAGACTCCCCTAGCCCTCCTCTGGGTGGAGGTAGCCTAGAGGGAGCAAGGTGCCATGCTGGCAGGCTGTTCCTAGAGCACTAGGCAGAGGGAAGGGAAAGTCCTTCACAGCCTGCACTCCCACGCAGGGCTGGGTTCTCAGAGCAGTGTGTGGTTCCCACGCATTATAGACACAAGGAACATTATTTGTAAGAAAAACTTCCCTAAATTTAGACTGTGGGGCAGGCTGTCGTTGAATTTGCCCGACTACTAAAGCTCAAGTAACCGACAGCTGTGGACCAAGCATGGAGCCAAGCGCGCAGCCCAGTGCGCACCTGGGAGTCCTGTACCGGGCTCAGCATTCACACTGTACGGATGAGGGAAAAGGCCAGACAGTCGCCTCATTCCTCAGGTGGCCAAGCAAAGACTCAAACCCAACTCAGCCTGCCCCTGGGGACCTCCAGTGTGCTACCAGCAGGCTTAGCTGCTGGGGTTTCTGGGGCTGTAATGAGAAGGCGCTGAGCTCCAGAGAGGCGGTGCTCAGTGACAGGCAGGCAGCCAGCCCAGCAGGGGCCTGGGCAGACCCAGGCAGGCCAGCAGGGGAGCATCTGATGTCCTGGGAGGACCCCAGCAGAGGAGTGTTGGTGAGTCAACCATCAATGCATCTCCTGCCTTCCACAAGCCACTGCATCACAAGCTGGGTCCCAGGCCAAGGCAGCCTGTCCATGGCTTGAGACCTGGCTTGTCCTCCCGGGGCTTGGAAGGCATGTAGCAGTCAGTTGTCTATAAACAGTATTTTAATATTCGTATAAATAGACCACAGTATTACCAAAAAACTGCAAGAACAGATCATGGAAAACAGACTCAAACACACACACACACAGCCTCCTGTGCTGCCAGCCACCGCCATGGCCAGCCAAGTGCTGTGGGGGAATGCTTGAAGAACAAGACCACCCCTGGGGGCTTTGGCCAGGAGACCTAAGCACAGCAGACCCCTGGCTCCCCACCCCTGCTGTTGACCTCTTCTTACAAAAATAATGTCAGCAGGTGGGTGTTTGGAGTCGTGCTACTTAGAAGAGGGTGACAGGAGCTGCTCTCATTGGCAGGCAGCAGCCCTCTGCTGTGCTGGGGAAGCGGCAGGCAGGCAGCCCACCACTGTGCTATCTCTGCACATGCCGCACAAAAGCCTGCACCAGCTGGACCAGAGGCTCCTGACTCTCAGGGATGGCTTTAGAGAGGGAGGTAGCCTTGCCCTGGGGTGAGGGCAGGACACCAGCAGCAGGGGAGCTGGGGGCTCCTCGGCGGAAGTAGCGTGAAAGGCTGGAGAGCAGTGTGCTCTACAAAAAAAAAAAAAAGATGAGGCTCAGTACCCAGGGCCATCATCCCCAACCCTCAGGTGGCTGGCCAGGCAGGGCCCCTTTCCCTCCAAACAGATCCTATATCCATTCATACCAACTCTGAGCTGAGCTCCTGCTTCATCCGCTGTTTGTCCCGTGGGTGCACAGCTGGGTCCCTAAGGTACCGCATTGCCTGGGAGATGAGCAGGTAGAAGCAGTTTTCCATGGTGAACATCAGGAGGGACCTGGGAGGAGGAGCAAGTTGGCAGTGTGGCAGAGGGCCAAGCTGGCAGGTGCGGGTGAGCCACTGAGCCAAGAGAGCCCCAGCCATGATTGCCCCAGGCCCTTAGCAAGTCCCAGAAGGTCTTACTTTAATGTTCTGGTCCCTTCTGCCTGTGTGCCAAGCCTCACAGCCTGGGTGAGGGGCTCCTTTTTCTTGTCCAGCTGGAGAAAGAAGCAACCAGTTAAAAAAAAAAAAAACAGCCGCTGCCCTCGGTTTACAAGAGCATCCTTCCTGGCAGGTCCTGCACTAAGCAACTGCACCAGTTACCTCACTGAATCCTCTCAGGTGGGTCCCCTAAAGCTCATTTTAAGACAACAGGCTCAAGGACAGATAACTTGCCCCAGGTCCTGGGAAGTGGTACACTAAGGGGAAGAGCTGGGTGGACAAGGGGCCAGAGTCCTATAGCACCTAACTTACCTCTCCAAGCATGTTGAGGGCCACATTCACTGTGGCCAAGAGGGTCCCAAAGGAGGGGGCCACTTCAGAGTCAAATGTGGGAGTGGTAAAACTCAGGGCAAACAGGAAGTTGTATTCAGCAAGATCCAGGGACTGCAAAGCAAAGAAACAATGCTCCTGGGACCCCACTAAGAGCCGGGTGACTCTCTAGCTCAGCACAGAAGCCTGGAGGATGCCTCAGGGGCCGAGGGTGTGAGGAATGGTGGCTGGTACCTGATCCAGCAGGATCTGGCAGACATCTGGGGTGAAGTGGCGCAGGGCTGCCAGGGTCCTGCTGAGGATCTTGAGAAGGCCATACTGGACTGTGTGCAAGGCTCGCTGCTCTGAAGCCTCTAGGTCAGCAGTGGGCTGTTTAGAGGAGCAGGAGGGGACAGCAGAAGCAGCAGCAGTGGTGGTGGGAGGTCGCTGAACTCTGGGAGCAACAGTTGAGGGGAGGCCATCCCCATTTTTGTTCTGGGAAGAGTCAAGAAATGAAGGGGAGCCCAAGGAGGCCAGGGTGAGCACTGTAGGCAGATGGGCTGGGATTCGTTACCTGTAAGTAATGCTGCAGCATCTTGCGGCTGTGCAGGAGGGAGGTGCAGGCCTGGCACAGGTAACCCAGGTTCACCTGGACACACAGGGTAGGAGTGAGGAATTCTTGGCAGCAGCCCCAGCCAGCTGCCTAGGCCAACCAAACAAGTCTGTCCACGACGCCAGTTCCCTTCAGCACTGGCGCCCACGCCTCACTTAATGTCTCTGTAGCCATTAAGTGTGCCAGAGTGTAGGCCTTGCGTCCCTGCAACCTAGCAGCCACTAGGTACCCTGAAAGGTACCAAGTAATTAAACACAGAAGAACAAAAGGCTCAGGGTGAGGGGTGACATGATCAGGCCAGTCACACAAGCAGAGCCTCTAGAGCCTGTGTTTGTGTCCTGCCCCGCTGCCCACTGCCTGCAACTTCACACCTATTCCTCAGGGTCCTGAACCTGGATCTATCTCAAAGAGCTCAAGTTCTTAACCTACCCACTGCCCTTCACTGTGGAGGGAAAACTTCAGAGTGAGCAACCTAAATGAGCCCTGGGCTCCCAAGCATAAGCTCACACTGGGGATCAGCCTGCAGTTCCCTGGAGAAGCAGAGTCCCTGTCTCTCCGCAACTCCCCAGACTCCTCCAAGAAACCACGCCCGAGGCCCACCTGGATATCACACATGAGCTGAGGCAGGTGGAAGTGCCACTCCTTCCTGAAGTGGGAGAGCTGTAGAATGAAGCCCACGGTGTGGTCCGCCTCCTCCAGGCAGGCCAGGCTTTGCACAGTCCTCACTGCATTAAGGCACTGGAAGGACGGGGGATGGCAGGGGAGGAGAGGACAGTTCAGGGGCTGAATGCAGTGTGCTTACCCACCAACAGAAGGCTAAGTCCTGAGCCACAGCTGAGAAGGCAGCACACAGTGGCCTAGCCTAACAATAAAAGGCTTCTGTCTGAGTAGACCAGAAACCTTACAGTACCCCCAGAAACAAGGGCATCGTCACCCTCAGCCACTGGGCCCCTAGTCCCTGGGAGGCAGCAGCCCCTCACTTGCAAAGTCCGCTCCTGGTGGACGCCCACGAAGTCCAGGGCCTCAGTCAGGAAATTGTAGCGCAGAGTCTTGAGCAGCCGCTCCATCAAGGACATGGACAGGCGGTAGACCCCTGGCCAGGAAGGGGCATCCAGGGATTTCCGAGATGTGCTGGGTGTCTAAGAGAAAACAGCAGAGGAGCTCAGGAGGCAGGGCCACAGGAATTCAGGTGAGAGGGCAGCAGGGCCTCCCTGTGGCTGGCAGCTGGGAGGAGAAACCTCCTGCAGTGGGCGCAGGCACTGCAACAGCAAGTCCCTCCACCCAACCCAGCAGGGCCAGAAGCAGGCAAGGCCAGCAGATGCAGAGAGCACTGGCAGAGAGGTACAGGATTCCGAGTTCTAGTCTGAGGTGCCATAAGCCAGCAGTATCAACATGAATGTATCCCTGCCCTGGAAACAAATACAGACCAATTCTGACAGGAGCGAGAGACTGGCTGAGAAGCACTCTTCTGAGATTAGAAGATAGCTGCTATACTAGAGGTATCTGGGGTGGGGTATGCAGAGGGTTGGGTGCTGAGGACCCACCAAGCACCCACAATACCGGCTGCCCTCCTCCTCACCAAGGGCTAAGAAATCACAAGTACACACTGCTTTTTGGAGGAAGAGGATTACAACTGCCCTGGTTGAAAACCTACCCTCAAAGTCCTGTCCTGTTCCCCTTCACAACTCAAAAGGAAGACTCTATCCCAGCTCCCAAAGCTGGTGTACAGGGACCAGGTAGTGCATTTTGGTGCTAGGGACCAACCCAGAATCTTGCACATCTGAATCTTTGCTCAGCTGCCTATCAGTGAGATCCACCTGGGGGCAGGGAAGAGTCCACACCATAGGGGCACTGGATGAGCCACGCAGAAGAGAGCAACTGCAGGGTCACACACAGGCGGCAAGACAGGAGAGGGCACTTTTTGCCTGAAAAGTGCAGGAGGCCAACCCAGGCTCCTGGCAGGTTCCTGGCACTCACCTGCCCAGTGCCGTTGGTGCTGAGCTGGTACACACTCAGGAGAGGCAAACAAATGCTCTGGGTGAGGCCGGCCCCAGCCACTGCTGTGGCTCCCTGGGAAGACAGATGTGGAATGAGTTGGAGTCTGCACTGCCCCATAAATGAGCCGAGCCTTCAGGCACCCTGCAAGCTCAGCCCAGTCCCCAGCTTTTGGGAGCATCACCACTAGCAGTGAGGTTCCTCCTACCCTCAGGCTGGCCTCCTACCTGCTGGGTGCGAGCCAGGGTGAGGAGCAGGTGCAGTGCAGCCTCAGTGAAATGCAGGTTCTGCTTCATGCGGAGGCTCACCTCCAGGGTGGTGAGAAG